CTCTTTTTCCTTTAGTTATTTTTCAGGTAGGACCTCATGTTTTACCCGGGTTCTCCTACCTCCAGGATGGCAGGTGCACCCTCGCATCCAGCTTATTGGTTGAGGTGGGGTCTCACTGACTTTTTGCCAACACTGGCCTTGAACCTTAGTCCTCCCAATCTCCATCTCTCTACCAGTTTGGGACATGAGCCCCTGTACCTGGCTATTGGAAGTTTTGGGGTTTTTTTTGTTGCTGTTTTGTCTACCATATGTCTTGCTAGTTTTGTTAGAATAATTCAAAACAAGACAACTAGTAAGAGAGAGACTCAAGTATAGCAAAACAAAACTGTCTTTTAGACAAGGCATTTAGGTTTTGTCATTCCTCAGAAATAAAGTCATCTGAGATTTAGGCTTGTGCAGAACCCAAAGTTTATTTTGGCATAAATTAGTTACAACATTTTAAGAAAAGGGGATTTTCACAAAAATTTTTTGTTGTGAGATTGCTTCACATTCCTTTTCATGACTGGAAAGTCTCATTTGGAAACCAGCAGAAAGCTTCAGGAACAGAGGGCTCCAGTTTCCTTGGTACACACCAATTTTCCCACTGTGAACAGTTGTGCCTCTTGTCAGTAGCTGTCATGTCCTGTGTGATTGGACCCATGGAAGGGAGAACTTAAGTGCTTTCAGAATTAGTTTTCTGTTGTTCAGACCTCTGAGCTGGAGCTGCTGCTCTGAGGAAGAGCTGGGCAGCTGGCGAGGTCCCAAGCTACCCAACCCTCTTTCCGACTTCCTGATTCCTACCTTCCCTAGGTACTCACTGGGAGCCATAGGTTTCCTTTTGTTGTTAGTCAGTCCAAGCTTCTGCATCCTTGCTAGGAGCCTGCTCGTTTACTAAGCTTGAAGCCAACAACAAATAGAGCTTTTTGAACTCATTCTGCCGATATGGCTTCATCTTGAACTTTAGAATGTGCTGTCTTTAGCTGGCGACAGAGAACAACCTCTTAGGGTAGCTGAGCCTTGCTGGTTTTCTCATTCTTACTAGAGAAGTCAGAATTTGCTCAAGTTTATAATTACGTAAAGTAATATCAGATAGATTTTTAAATTTCCTTGAAACTTTGTGATCTAATAACAGAGACTTGTTCTATCATTGGTGGGCCCGTTGGACACTGTTTGCTGAGAGTGCTTGGCAAGGATGAAATTAGGGAAGAAACATTACCTAGAAGGTGCCAGGACTGCCCTGGTTTATCAGAACTGGGCAGGCAGCTGTAGAATCTCCTTGCCCTGCCAGTCCCACTGCCTTTCCTCCTTGGGACTGCCACACATGTCTTACTGGCCTTGGTTTCTGCTGAGAGTGCAGGCACACCTGTGTGAATTCCTGCAATGCCAGGCAGCAACTGCGTGGGGAAGTACACACAGGTGTGGATAGTCAGTTTCATGAGGCTTCATTCTGGTATTAGGCTCTCCCCTCCTACCTCTGAGCCTTGCCTTCATGCCCTTACCCCAGTGTGCACAAATGTGATGGTACCAGAGAACTCTTTTTGAAGTCCAGAAGGGGAGTAGAAAGCATTCTCTTGTAACTTCAGATTCCTGTCTAAGACCTGCCTCCTCCCACAACACTGACCCTGTTTGGGCACTATTCTTCAGGAAAGTACATGGGACTTTCTAAGATAACTTGTAGGACTACATAGTTCCCTCTCTGTGATGGGAAGAGAGCTTCTTTCCATACTTCACTTCCACCAAATTGAGTTTAACACAAGGAGGAAGAAGAGATGGCTGATAATAATGAGGAGACCAGGGCACGAATACAGCTGGACATTCCTTCCTCCAAGTCTGCTTGGGGAAGGGTGGTTGACAACTGCATTTCTCTTCTGTACACTGTGACCAGGCTTTCACTTTCATGGTGTGTTTTTGGCCTTCTCTGTAGAAGCTGAATAGAGAACCAGTCCCTGCAAGAAGCAAAAGTAGTTTTTGAAGGCTTGTGGAGTCTTTCTTTCCCGCCTGTGCTGGGATTTTGCAAGGCACGTGTTGGAACCCCATGCCCCAAACCTTTTTAGCTTTAGTTATTTTTCAGACAGGGTCTCACGTTTCTGCCCTGGGCTGGCCTCAGACCATGATTCTCTTACCTCTGGCCTCTCACATAGCTGGGATCATAGGTGTATGACACCATACCTGGCTTATTGATTGATATGAGGTTCTTACTAACTTTTGCCCAGGCTGGCCTCAAACCTTGATCCTCCCAATGGCCTCCTGAGTAGCTGAGATTATAGGCTGTGTTTTTGTTTTTCAGTGCTGAATGATCAAGCCCAAGGCCTTGTGCATGCTAGGCAAATGGTCTACTACTGAACTACATTCTCAGCCCTCATGAAGGCTTTCAGTGTCAGAATGGTGTTGGGACTTGAGATGTTTGGACACTTTATAGGTATCCTCAGTCTGTCTCCCTCTTGGTAACCAACAGTAAAGCCTGGTACCAAAGGTCTGGTGTGATCTCTTCAGGGCCACAGGGAGCTTTCAAGGGGTGGGACCTACGATAGTTGCCTGGGAGAAGGGTGCTGGAGAAAAAGGAGAATGGCCCATGCATGGTGCCTATGGGACATGTGTGGGAAGTAACAGTACCCTGTCCACATAGGTCCCAAGGCCTATCTCAAAGTTGTGATTGTGGTTACTTAGGAAATACCATTTTCATGTCTCCAAGTATATTGAACTTTAGATTCTTGAGAACTTTGTCCATTAATGCTTTTAAAGAGAATATGCCCAATCCATGTGCACATTCAGTTAGAAAAGTATGGATTCTTTGCTGACTTAGAAGATGTGCTAATTGAGTGACACTCAGTGGTCAGTGTATACATGCATCATGCTAAAAGTAACTTGTGGATCAGGTTCTTGAGTTGGATTTAAAATGATGCTTAGTCTTGTGCTGCAAGTAGGAATAGTGGTCCAGCCCCAGTCCCAGCTCTCTCCAGGCTGACATTTGCTGCATGGGGTCAGGAGTTTCTGGTCAGTGGCAGTATGGTTCTGGTGGCTGACCGATGTCGCAGGGCTGATCCTGTAGGTGGAGTACCAGGATGAGAGCACACTCCTGACGTGCACTGAGAGAGTAAATTCTAGTCCTCAGCCTGGGAATGGTGGGCCAGGTAGAGCGCCTCCTAATCAGGGAGCAAGGCGTTGGGAGGTGAGTGGCAGGGTGGGCTTACTTGAAATATCAGAATTACAGCACCGTTTTCTGGAGCCCTTTTGGCTGCACAGAGAAGATGCTCATTCAGGATTGCTATCCAAAGGAGGGAGACATACATTTATTGGCATATGTATGTAGCCTACCCATGTATGTTAGTGACACGCTGCATATGCGGAGATGAAAACTTCCTGTTGTCTAGTGACATTGTAGCTGTCTTAATGTCGTAATGCAATACATTACTCACTTGTTTGTGGTGACATTGGTACAAACCTGTTGCACTGCCCATTACACAAAAGTATAGCACTTCTAACTATATTTGGCAGTGATAATGAATGGCTGTGTTACTTACTGGTTTTATGTACTTACTGTACTAGGCTTTTATCATTATTTTAGAATATGCTCCTTCTACTTATTTGAAAAAAAAAGTTTGCTATAATCTTGATGTGGTGGCACATACTTGTAATCCCAGCTCTCAGGAGGCTGGGGCAAGAGGCTTGTGAGTTTGAGGGCAACCTGGACTATATAGTGGAACCCTGTCTCAAAAAACCAAAAAAAAGGAAAAAAATTACTGTAAAACAGTATGCTGTGTTAGGCCAGCAGCAGCCACATCCATTGTGTGTTTACCACATCTATTTTTGACAGTACTAGGGATTGATCTCAGGGCCTTACGCTTGCTAGGCTTTCATTCCAGCAAAGTCACGTGCTTTCACCTGGACTGGCCTTGGATCATGATCCTCCTACCTCTGCTTCCCCAAGTAGCCAGATTAAGGCATGCACCACCACACCTGGTTTACCATGTCTCTTGGTCACATCAAGAGTAAACATGAAGTGACTAAGCTGTGCCATCTAGATTTGTGTAAATGCACAGTAATGAGATCTCCCAGACACACACTTATAACGTGTCACTATAGCTGTATAAAGTGAGTGACAGCCCCAGAAACTAGAGTATGTCTTGCTAAATAAAACACAGCTAGGGTCCTACAGGGGCTGGAATGGGAGGCCTGGGTCCTCTAGTGGTGATTGTGCATCCTCAGCTCAGCTGCTCTCCTTGTTGGTATTTCTTTGTCCACTTCTCTTCTCACTGTGGTACTTCCTCTCTGTCCCTAGATCTTTTCTCTAATTTTGGCTTGTTCACTCTCCCTCATACCCCTTATTTTATCCTGTGAGCTCTTATACTGTATATTCTTTCAAATGTAAATTTTTAAATTATTTTTCTTAATTCAAAATTCAAAGATTGGACCTCTTGGGAGTATCCTATGCCCAGGCTCTGGGATGAGCTCTGGCTTTGTGGCCCTCTGGTCAGGTAGTCTCCCTTTGTGTGGTGAGCTGTGGCAGGGTGGTGAGGTTTTGTGGACCAGTCAGTGCATGGCACTGTGTGTGAGGGTGTCAGGTAGGAGAATGCTCTCAGTGGGCCAGCCTTGAGGAGGGCAGTTGCAGGAACCAGGTGAAGGAGTGGGAGGATAGGGGCTTGGGAAGCAAGGAAAGGCACATCGCTTCACATGTTCATCTTTTACATTTGCACAGCACCTTTCAATGCTTGGCTTCTTGTCTTAGCCATGAAATAATTAAGTTCAGATGTGTAGGAGATAAATGGCCACCAAACCAGGGGCAGCTTGGAAACCATACTCTGTGGACTTGGGCACCTCTGACCGCGCTTTTCTCCACAGATAAGAAAAGAGTACTGTTGGAGTTGTTTTGCCTAGGCTAGTTAGGGATGCACGTTCCTCACTGTGTAGTGAGGAATAGCAGGCCTTCTTAGATTTTCCCACCCACTGCCATTCACAAGGAAATGGCACTTCCAGATCCCATGGTTCCTTCCTGAACACTGACTGAATGTGTGTCGTTGCAGGCTGCGAGTCCTCCATCTGCATCAGCCCCAGTGTCCGCCTTCTCTCGCACTTCTGTCACGCCATCCAACCAGGATATCTGCAGGTAACACTCTGCTTCAGGGGCTACCATGGCCTGTGTCACCAGGAAACACACATTAGTGTCCATAGGTTGTTGGTTTTCCATTTGCTTGATCATTCTTTCTTGGTTTAAACAGTTGGCCCAATTTAATGTGCTGTTTGATCATCAAGTTTACTACACAGTCTCATTTCTTCACTTTGATGTCTATTCTCTTTTAAAATTGATTTTACTTCCTGTGCTTTATTCCACTCTTCTGCATGCAGTTCCAGTGCAGTGTTTTCTGAGTGTTGTCAACACAGTCCCGTGCAGTCTGCTGTTGTCTTGAAATCTCCTCAGTGCCAGAGTTCTTTCACACAAGGGCTCACTGTGGCAGTTATCTGTAAAGACACATTTCAGGCATCAAAGAGAAATTCCTTTGGTTCAGAATGGATCCAGGCCTTGAAGCCTGCTAAAAATACCAATGCCAGAAGAACACTAAAATTCTCAAAGTCGCTAAATGATATTGGTCAGAAGGCCCAAGATACTTTGGAAAGCTTTGACTATGTGGAAAAAACCTGTTCTGAAGGAAAATTGATACTCCCTCAAGATCCATGCCTCAGAATGAATGGGCTCCATCATAAAGAGAAAAGAGCATCAAACTGCCCAACTCCTGGCCATCCCAAACATTCTTGCATTTCATCCCTTTCTGCCAAGCATTCTGCTGCCTCAGAGGTGGAAAATGGCAAACCGGGTCTGCACATCTCACTTTTGGAAGAGAAAACAGATGGCGAGGCTGGGTGCAAAAGCAGGCAGCTGCTCCGGTGCCTGTTCTCACTCTCCCACAGCTTGAGTGCAAGCAGCCTGAACAGGTTTCACGAGCTGGAGAGTCATGCTACCCACCTGCACACCACCAAGTCCTCCAGCGGGCTAGCAGGAAGCATGGGCTTCTGCTCCGACGAAATGGGAGATGACGATGTCTTTGAGGACAGCGCTTCCGTCAAACTGAAGAGCAGAGTCCTACAGGCACCCTTGTGCTCAGTGGAGAAGGACAGTGACCTGGATTGTCCTTCTCTTCTCTCAGAAAAATGTCCCCCCATCTCTCCCATGTCCACTTCAGGGGATGCCTGCAGGTTGGTTTGCCAGGACCAGTTCTGGCTGTATCTGCTCGCACCTCTGTAGCCTCACCTTGCTTTAATATGTGAAGTTTCAGGAAAATGAGCAATAAGCCAGTTGTAGCCAGTTGTGGGGTAATTGTTTTCTCCAGGAGAATGGAGGATTGATGCCATTTGAAAAACTTAATTTTAAAAGAGGAAGAAGCTACACATATTAAAAGCCAAGATGACTCTGCACAACTAAAAATAAGTAGACTTTGCATAAAGAAGTTGGAAGAAAGAGGGCTGGAGGTGTGACTCAAGTGGTGGAGTGCCTGCTAAGTAAGCTCAAGGCCCTGAGTTCAAATCTTGGTACCACCAAAAACCAAAAAAAAAGAAAGAAAGAAATTGGAAGAAAGAAAATAGTGTCTCCAGCTTGGTGCTCCTGGTTTTAAGCATTTGCTGTCCCTTCCAGCCTCCTTTTTACTCCTTTCCCCCCAGTAAATGTGGAGAGAAGCTGTTCTTCAGCAGCTCCTTCCACTCTTCCTTCCTCTTACCTTGGGTGCATCCACACTCTGACTGAGTCCTGACTCTGCTTCCCATCTTTATCTGCCCTGCCCAGCATTCTTGTCTGGCCCAAAGCTCTCAGGATTCACTTTCTCTCACCACTCCAATGCCTCCCTCAGTCTCCCCTCCTCAATAGCAGCTATTAGATTTCTCATGGTTGGATCAGAAATATTGGCTCTGAAACAGACAGCCCAAGAGTCTGGCAAGGCTAGAGCCTGTCTTCTTTTCAGGACAGGTGTCTCTATCTGTTCCTCAGCTGCTGGAAAAGATCCCTGTTCTCAAAAACCTGTTTAAATTCCTTGAGATTAGTAGTTGTATCCTGATAAATGGTTCTTTGGAAATGGTTGCTTTAAAATTAATTCCCACTTCGTATTCTGAAAAAAGAAGTGAAATTGCAGCACCTTGGCAAGTTTTTAGGTGGAGGAGAGGTGCTATGAACTCTGTTTCCTCCCCAGGTCAGAGCAGGAAGGTAGGGCCAGTGATTACAGCTGGAAAGCAAATGCTGTTGTCTTTTAAGTGACTGGTATTTTGGAGGGGAGAGTGCTGGTTTTGTTTTACATAGCAATTTTCCCTCTATTTTAACATCTTATGTTCTGGAAGATAACTCCATGTTGCCTTTAAATTCATCTGTCAGTGAAGTCTAAGTCTTACCTAAAAATGATTGCTTTATTGTTTCTTGTATCATTTTCCCCTCTCTGTTGCCAAATGCCATCCCAACTTCTCATGCTGGTGAGGTAAGCTAGAACTGCCAGTTGTAGTAGTTGTTTGCTTTTGTGTTTGTGTGTCTCCGTGCGCACAGTCACTTTTGTGGTGTGTGTTGTGGAGTGTTTCTTTGGGGGGATTTGGCCTCTACTGGAGAGTCACCTTCCCTGATGTAGGACCTACTTGCAATGACTGGTTTTCCTTCTGCCACAGGATCTGCCACTGTGAAGGAGATGACGAGAGCCCTCTGATTACCCCCTGCCACTGCACAGGAAGCCTCCACTTCGTGCACCAGTCTTGCCTGCAGCAGTGGATAAAGAGCTCCGACACCCGCTGCTGCGAGCTCTGCAAATACGAGTTCATCATGGAGACCAAGCTGAAGCCTTTGAGGAAGGTGCGTGAGGAGGGAGCCCTACAGGAGTTAGCCTCTCAGACCACAGCCACTTGCCTGTGTTGGTTTCTTTAAAAAGAGGGATTGGTGCTTATGTTTGCATTGTGGACCATTGTTTGTGGTGCTGAGGTCTAAGTCCCTCCCCGCAGGAGGACATTCCCTGTCACTCACAGTGCTTCTCTTTTCTTCACACTGAGACTGCTTGCTTCTCTTGTCAGTCATCTGGCCCTTAATCACAGACATCTTTGTCCTTCGACATCTTTGTTAGCATTTAGCTTCAAATGTCTTGTTCACATCTTGCCTCTCCAATTAGGGCTGTCTCTCCCCAGCACTCAGCTCAGTGTAGCACACAGTTTGTTTACACACACATGTGGTAAGTGTTTTCTGAATGAGACAGGGTGAAAACATATAGATGTCTTCAGGCCCTAGGTGGGTCGTGGGTCCCTTTTTTCTTTTTTTTTCCTTTTTTTTTTTGGTGGTATTGAGGATCGAATCCATACCACGTTAGTTTGTGATAAAGTATAGTAAGTAGTTTGTGGTAGTCTTGCATTTTCCTATCCGAACTGTGATCTTCCTACCTCATACTCCCAAGTAGCTGTGATTATAGGTATGAGCCACCACACACAGCCATCTGCTCCCTTCTGATAGGAGCTCCATTCATGGCACTGGCCTCCTCTTCAGACATTAACAATTTCATACCTCTGTGTGCTCAGCACAGAAGGTCTTATTTGGAAAAGTAAAAGGTACTGTGGGTCTCAAAGCATCAATATGTAAATTTCCAGGGGAATCATACAAATCAAGTAACAGCACATGAAGAGGCCAACTTAATGCTAGTTACCTGGCGGCATGGAGAGAAGGAAGTACTCCTTGTGGTCAGGCCCTTCGCTGGGGAGAGTCAGACATCATAGATGGTTTGGGAACTGTTCTGGAAAGACAGGTGGGCTTTGTGCACAAAGTGAAAGGAGTTTAGAGAGAGTCAAATTGTGTAGAAAAGCATCCTCTTCTGAGGTGAGGGTAAGAGTTTCAGGGGATCTGAAAGGGTCAGGCTGTGGGTGTCATGGGAAATAATAGGAGTCAGGGTGTAGGAGACACTGACTCTGTTTTAGGTGGGAATCCCAAGGATCTTGCTAATTATAAAACTCCAGCAGAAAGCAGTTGAGTGTTAGAGAAGGCAGGCACAAATTACTTGATTATTTAACCTAAAATAAGCTTTTATTGGGTACCTACTCTGTGTTATTCTCTCAAGCAAAGTCTTAGACACTTGGATAATACAGATAATCTATGAAGCTCTACTTTACTCACCCTGTAGAACCACCTGGATAGAGTCTGTGGTCAGCATTGGCAAGGGACATGCAGTGTTTATACTTTGTTCTTTCTCTCTACTTTTATGTTTTCTTCTGGTTCGGAAACCAGTAAATGAGAAAGAAATCTGGCTATTTGGAGTAAACTAATGAGCTCCTAGAGGAGATGGCACTGGCAGAGTCTGCTTGTACCAGGAACTCTTAGCATCGATTTCAAGCTGTTGCTGCCAGAGTAGCAAGCTGTTGCTGCCAGAGTAGCAGAGGACCAAAGAGTGAGCGCCTTCTGCCATTCACCTTCACAGTGTGACCCATTGTAATGTGTTGTGGCATCATCAGTCCTTTTCTTCCACTCATCCATGTCAGTCAGCACATCACGGAGACTAAGGTGTAGCGGCCAGGTCTCAGGCAACCTGTTTTCCTCAGGACTGAGATCCCAGCTCCTTTGTCAGGCCCTTCACTGTCTGCCTGTAGGCATGAGTGGGCAGGGAGTTCAGTGCTTAGCTTGATGCCAGCTTACATTGTGTAGAAAGTGGCTGTGCCTGGTACCGGTTGAAGCCAAGTGTCTTAGAGACAGCTTTGGGTTATTTAGGGAGCTTCATCACCACTTTCACCATGGTCCTTTACAACTTACCCAAGCCTCATGCTCTGTGTGTCATCTTTCCAGTGGGAAAAGTTGCAGATGACAGCCAGTGAGCGCAGGAAGATCATGTGCTCAGTGACATTCCACATCATTGCTATCACCTGTGTGGTCTGGTCCTTGTATGTGCTCATTGACCGCACCGCCGAGGAGATCAAGCAGGGGCAGGTAACAGGTAAGCATTGCACACAGGTACTGGGGACTTGGGTTTGGAGCATTTTCCAGTAAGGTCATGCACATCTGGTTTTCTGGAGCATGCCAGACTCCCCAGAACCCCTCCTGAGAGAACACGATAAAAGGTGGTAGCCACTCTCTCCCTCCCTTTTGAGGAGCGAGAATTTGATGTGTTTTATTTACTTCCAACCTGAAGTAAGGTGTCCTGGTAGGCTGACTGAGTCTCTCCCTTCCAGGAATGCTAGAGTGGCCCTTTTGGACTAAACTGGTGGTTGTGGCCATTGGCTTCACCGGAGGACTTCTTTTTATGTACGTCCAGTGCAAAGTGTACCTGCAATTATGGAGGAGGCTGAAGGCTTATAACAGAGTGATCTATGTTCAGAACTGCCCAGAAACAAGCAAAAAGAATATTTTTGAAAAGTCTGCACTAAGAGAACCCAACTTTGAAAATAAAGATGGACATGGAATCTGTCGTTCCAACACAAACTCTTCTTCTTGCACAGAGCCTGAAGACACTGGAGCAGAAATCATTCACATCTGATGGTGTCGTTTTCCTGGGCGTCCAAAGAGAGCTGAAGGAATTCGTTTACTGCCAATTGTGTACTTTTCTTATGTCCTTAATAGCATAGATTGGGCAGGTAACTTTTTATAGTGGCCTCTCTTTCTGATCCCTCCTTGATGAATCTCCTGAAAGCCCTCCTGTGAGCCAGGAACCACTTGGTTGCACTTCTGCCAAGCTGCTCTAGGGGGCAGGAAGGTGAGGGACCCCACACAGCCATGATGGGGAGCTGACTGAGTTCCAGCCCAGGTCTTGAGCAGAGTGAGGGAACAAAAGGCCCAGCAAGGCTGAGCAGGAAGTGGGTAGGAGGGCCTGAGGCACAGCTGTTCCTAACCCAGAGCCCAGCGTTGGGGAGGTCTGGCTGTGGTGAGAGGATTGCCATCTTACTAAGGAGAGCCAGGGAAATGGGATGGGAATGACCTCTACAAACACAAAGTTGTGCCCTCCCTCTGCTAATGCTGCCACACTGGCCTTTGAGTAGGCAAGGCCTTGCGGTCCTGTGTCTGGTGGCTTATGATTCATTGAACAAACAGCACTTTATAAAAGAGAATCTTTATTTTATGATTCCTTTGTCTAGTGGGAAAGACACTTCAAAGAGCGTCACATGTAGAAATCTTCCCTTTATTACCCTTTTTTTATCTCTTTAAATCAGAACACATCTGAAACACTTTTGCCTTATGTACTCTTGAGTAGCAGGATGCCCTCTGCATGTCCAGAAGACAAGACTCATGGCTTGACAGTGTGAGGGACAGGTCCGAGGCTTTTCCGTAACAGAGTTGGTGGGAATTAATGGATGCTAAGTGGCAGCTAGCATAATTCCTGCAGTTTCATGACTAGTCCTTACTTCATAGTCCTGCTGTACATTTATTTGGTCAACACTGGCAAAGAAGGGTTTTGAGATCTTAATGGAAGGAAAGGAAGCAAGTGCTAAAGACACAGTTGAGTGTTTAGAAAATGATTTCTTGACAGATGTCTCCAGTTGGTGTGGCTGTACGCTAGAATAGCAGGTGCATGCCATCTACTGTGGGCACTCACTGTGGGTGCTCCCATACTGGGAGGTTCTGCAGAGTCACCACCCAGGGCCAGGAGACAGGCAGGCTGACTTTAGGATGAGGCCCTGGCATGCGTAGCAAACTGCCATGGGCCACTGATTGTGTCACTACCCTCCAACCCACACCCATCTATTGTCGCCTTAACTGGACCAAACAGAGAGGTTGGTTTAGGGGGCCCTGGCCCCACACTTGGTCCATTCTGTCATCAGGGATTACCCCTCTGTCATTTTTCATAACACAGACAAAACGAAATCACCACCATCAAATGGCCTTCACCCCTTTAAAAAGTCTGAAAATTTTCTTCTTGAAGCCCAGTATCATAGTGCCAGGCAAACAGTCAACTCTGGGTGTCAGCCCAAGGCCTGCAACATGACATGGGTGGCCCAGAGGCTTATTCTTCAGGTCACTCTGTCACCACCCACTGCGTATGCAGAGCCTTCTGGATGGGACAGGGCAATGCCTATGGTCCTGTCCATATTTCTTGGAGCCTTAGGTTCCTCACCTGTCCTGAGAAGAGGATGAAGCAAACATGAGACAAACTCTTTGTGGTTCAGGGTAGTCCTGTAGTTGGCTTTGAAAGCCAGGAGGAGGTTGAAGGAAGGGTCTCTTGAGCCTAGATAAGGCTTGTGAGAGCAATCCTTCTGCCTCTGTGTCTGACACATGGGGTCACAGAGCCCGGTCTGTGAAGCTGCTCTAACTTGGCTTTCTGTTGGCCAATGGGCACAGTTCAGACAGCTGACCCTGAGGTCAACCTGCCCTTGCTGTCTCCCAGGCCTCATCCAGCCGGTTTCTGTGCTTATTGTGCCCCAAAGTGCAATTACTCACATCCCTTATCAGCCTGGGGACACCAGGCAGCTACAGTCTGCCCACTCAGGGGAGCTGAGCCCCAGGTCAGCCCTACCTATACCCCTTAGGAACTGCCCAGACTAGTTTTCCAGTCCTGTTCACCTGTCCCTGTCACCCTTCAATGGTAGATGAGTGGTCAAACAAAGACCAAGATAGTTTTAAATGTGATTCCTACCCCAGTGGGCCCCTCATGCTGAACTTGAAAAGTACTGAGACTTTCACAGAGAGGAAAGTGTGCATAGGTGGGGATAGCTCCTGAGCCACCAGCTCTGGAGTTGGGGAGGGGGCTGGCACCCCCTTATTGCAAAGGTGTCTTTAGAACTGTGACCCCTGTGTTGTTGCCATGCAAACCAGATGCTCTACAAAGCCCTAACCCTTCTTTTCAGAAGGGCCTGACCCCATTTCCTTTCCAGTCACTCTGCAGATGGTCTATCCACATCATCTTCCACTCCCGTCATGGCACTCAGCCACCCCTTGCTTTTTTTCCTATAGGTCTAACTTAGCATCTGTGATCCAGCAGGATCCCTCTGCCTACCAGCGATTGAGTGAAGTAGTTGGTGAGGGCGTGCTGTGCTGCCCTTTAGCTGGGGTTTCCCAATCTGTCCACTCGCCCTCTAAATGCTTCTGTGGAGCTAGCTATCCCATTTTGCCTCAGTCTGTGCCTGGCTTTAGTGGGAGGGTGGCATGTGACTGAACCAAACAGTGGAATGAGGCTCCAGGGTCAGAAGGGCTGATGCTTACGGGCCAGGCAAAGGGGACTAGGGAAGCAGCCTCAGGGTGTCACCACCAGTCCTCTTCTTTAAATGAGTTTTGCCCCATGGGTCAAGGCCTAATTGCAGGCCTCTGATTTTAACTTCCAGAAGTAGCTTGGGTGTGTGCCCAAGTTTATTGCAAGAATTTCTTGGAAATGCTGTAAAAGTTCTCTTAAGTTTCTGTGTCTCTCCTTCAAACCACTCTTCAATCTCGTAGGCCTAGTTTGCAATTCTGTAGTTGTAGCTCCCTGGCCACAAATGTGTGGACCTCAGGCAGTGGGGCCAGTTCTGGAGCTTGGAAGGTGCTGCATGGTGGGGGTTGTAGGGCTGGGACTCACAGGGTGAAGAGCCACACCACTTTGGATGTGGCTTGGTGCAAATATGCATTTGAAATACTGCCCCTTTGAATCTGGTTTGAAATATGCAACTTTTCATACCTAGTCCAAGGAAAGACCAAAACATAGAGAACTAAAAGCATTTATCTTTGCCGGAAGTAATTGTTCAAGTTGTGCAGCTGATTTGGTACACATTTAGATGCAATGTTTATAGAAAGTTAATTGTTAATAAAACCAAATTTACACTGGCATGCGTGGTGTAGTTCCTAAAAGGCACTTGACATTTGAAATTTTTCTTAGAAAATTTCTAGTAATCTAAATGTCTAGTTTTGTATTCTTTTACGTATGTTCACTGTTTCTCAGTATTACCACTTGAATAATTCTCTGTACAGGGGGTTCATTTGTGCTATACTGGAGTTGTCTTAACTGCAGCAATAAAACCTTTCTTTACAAAGGAGTTTTGCCATGAAAGTGTTTTCCTGTGAGGAGGCAGCAGACCCTCTTTCTTTCCAGATTCTTGTAGCTCACACATGGGGAAATAATATCCTCTGCCTGTCCCTTAGACACAGGACTGTGGGGAGTCTGGAGGGCCAGCAGGACTGTAGTGAAAAGGGAGGCATCACACAGGTGTGTTGCTGCTAGTCTGGACTTTACTTGGACTCATGTCTTGAGGGAAGCCAGGTCAAGGTTAGGGTATGTCTGACAGCAGGAGCAGTTGGCTGATGTTTACTGACACCCAGCCCATCTAAGTAAGACAATCAGGGACACCCATCGGTTCCTAGGGACAGCTCTGATTCCAGGGACAGTTCCTAGGGTCAGGCTGCATCTCCTGACTTGTGCAGGGTTCCCTGAGGGATGGCAGTGCCACTGGTCCTCAGACTGCAGACTGCCCACAAAGCTGTGAGGGCTGGGCTTCCCCACTGTGTTCTCCAGGGTCAGGATGGCATAAGGCGAGGGAGGAAGGGAAAGCAGGCTCGCTCAGTATGCTGTGTGCCCGCACACTTGGGAGCTAAGCAGGAGAATGTTTTGTGGAGAGACGAAGGGCCTGGAGGAGGAGGCCTCCACACAGAGTGGAGAAGGCCCATAGAGCCACTAAACCTGCTTAGGAAGGTCTATACTTGGGACTGGGTAGAGGCCAGAGGCCCCATGGACTCAGAACAATGGAGCTAAAAGAGAAAATCACTCTTGTAAAAACAATTAGGGTGCTTTGGAGACCAATGACTGTTAGTAGTTTGATGGAAGAAACACAGGTGGGATCGGGATCTTTCTTGGTATAGGCAGGCTTCAGGTACGGGTGCCCCAGGCTCTTCTGTCTTCTGACACCAGCCATAATGATGGAATAAGGGCTGCTACAGGGCTCACGTCTAGGCAGGCTTTTTTTATTATGTGAGAGATAGCAAACTAGTGCTCAGAAGCAGCCTCCTGTTTTGTGAGTTAAGTGTGTCTTGCTACTTGGCACATAGTCGTGTATAGATGTCCTTCAGCTGACCTGCAATGGCAAAGTTGGGTAAGTAGCTGGGATGTATTGTATGGCTCACAAAGCCTAAAGTGTTTACTGTGTAGTCTTTAATAGAAAAAGTTTGCCAGGTGCTATGGTTTGAATGTGGGTAGTGTTCCCCAAAGGTCTGTATGTTAAAGGCCTGTTCCCAGGGAGGTCCTATTAGGAGGTGCTGTGGACCACTAGGAGGCGGGGCCTTATGGGAGGGCCTCAGGTCATTGGGAGCATGCCTTCAAGGGGGATCCGCCTCTTCTTCTGTGCTGTCTGCTTCCTGGCTTCTGATACAGGCAGTTTGCTGTGCCACACACTTCTGCCAGGATGTGCTTCCCTTGCCAGAGGCCCGGAGCAGTCTTCTCCAGAATGAGCAGCCAAAATTAACAGTTTGCTTTGTAAGTAACTGCCTCAGGTATTGCATGATAACAACGTGAAGCTGACTAATGCACCAACTGTAGATTGATGTGAATGGTGCCCCTGGAGTTGTTGGTTCCTGTGTGACATCTTAGTGACAGGGCTTGGAGATGCCACTGTGACCTGGAGTCTGAATTGTGGGGTCTGGAAAGAGCCCAGAGGGCAGTGCAGGAGGGAGAGGGGAAGAGCATGCCTTCTGGAGCTGAAAGTTTCTCTGCTGCTCACTACTTAGGTATCAGGCCAGTGCAAAGGAGGATGTTTCGCAAGGCTCACACCAGTAGCTATGCTACTCAAACACCCAGCTGCTGGGAACCAGGAGATCCAAAACTGACTGACAGCCTCAGCTGCCACACCTTTGAACTCACTCCTGCCAAAACCACTACTCATTCCTGCCAGATACATGATTTCCTGAATTGGATGATTTGTTTGAGGAACTCCCTCCTATTAGCCGGAGTGACATTTTCAAAGAAGCTGCCCGTCCATCCTCCCTTTCCTTACCAATGTCAGACCTGTTCACCACCCCTGCCTACTCCTCTTTTCTGCTCCCTCCTTGACCACTAGTCTTGTGTGCTCCACAGTGGGGGCGGGGCTCACAAGGATGTGGAAGCTAAGTGCCTCCAGAATGTCTGTGTTTAAAGGTCATTCACAAGTGTGGTAGGCAGTTCTGGGAGGGGTGGTAGGAAGTCTATGGCAGTAAGAGGCTCTAGACCTCAGTCTCTAGTGCCCACCTCAAGAGTCAGGGTTTCTTAGAGGGACTCAAGTCTCCAGGAAGACATGTCTATTTTCTCCCCCTTCCACAGTGGCTCTGGTGGAGTCCTTTTACCTAGACACGGAGCATCTGGCTGACTACCTCAGGAGAAACTTCTAGAAACCCTGGAAATGTACTGATGTGATTCTGAAGGCAGGGGCTAGAGGGCTGTGGGATGGCCATGGTGTAAGAGGGGACAGTAGGTCACTATGCCAAGGCTAGAGCCTGGCTCTGCTTCCTGGGCCTAGGGAAAATCATATTGCAAACCCAACCTCAGGAGAAAACAAGCACCCAGCTCCCACGAGTATCTAAAATCTGTTGGCTGGGTGTCCTACCAGGAGGAAAACGAGGGTGTGGTTGAGGCTGGCATGCCAGCCCTGGGTACATGCAGAGATGTGGGTTCCCTGCCTGCCAGGGCTCCTCTCATGGGGCGACCACATGGACGGGAGAAACGGCAACAGGACACAGCTCTGAAGAGAGACAAGCCCTTAGCTGGGTAGCAAAGGAGGCCTTTCCAGAAGCAGTGACACTGAGACATGTTCCACAGAAAGAGTAGGAGCAGTCTGGGAAAAGAAGATGGGCAAGGGACCTTCCATCCAGGTTTGGCCGAGAAGGCTTTTGCTCACATGGAATCAGCAACTGGGCTTATTTTATGGCAGTAGGGGCAATGAGTTGTTTGAGATGACTGTTTTAAATGGATTTATTTCTATGACAATCGATTCTTAATTCACGAGAATTTACTTGGGCACCTACTCATACGCAAGAAATTAAGCATAAATAGAAAGTAATTCCATGTCCCCAACAAAAACAGATTTGGCTGTTGCTGCTTGGGGAGAAGTGCTGAGATAGGTGTGGGGAGGAGACCATGCGATCCTTCTCTGTGTAGGAAGGTCCCTGCAGTGTTTGCACACTTTAATCAAAGTATGGGGTGCCCTAAAGATGGAGGGATAAACAGGAAAATGCACTGAAGCTTTGCTATAAAGTCACCCTTCTTAGAGTACACTTTGGATTGAAACCAGTTCACCTGGGGCTGAGAACGGACTTGTTGGTGTTGGAGGAAGAACAGTGAGCTGCCAGGAGGCTGGCTCCACACCTGGAGCCAGGCTGGAGTCTGGCTGGCCAAAGCAGCTGGCCTCCTCAGAATGAGAATGGTGCAGACGGGGCTCAGATGGCCACGCTGTTGGGAATCCGGTCTGGAGACAAATAATAATAGGGCAGCTTTTTGTTCTTGTTGCGCTCAGCAATCACACTGACGATGGCCTCCAGGTTCTTGCGAAATCGGGTCATGGCCTCCTTCACGGGCTTCTCGATGAAATGCTCCTCTGGGTACATGCCCAGGAACAGCTGAGGGCCCAGACATGGACAGACAGGTTAATCTAAGATGGGACACATAAGCTGCTAGGCCCTGTGTCACCCCCAGAGAGTTTTTCTTGGGAGGAGAGGGAGGGATTTAACATCTACCCACCTCACCTGCCAAAAGTGTTTATACAAAGTACATGCAGAAAAGACATGAGAAATAATGAAACCCTGTCACTTAGAACAACATGGAAGAACCTGGAGAACATCATGTTAACTGAAATAAGCCAGACTCAGAAAGACAAACAGCACTGGATTTCATTCACTTGTGGAGTATAAAAAGATAAAAGTCTCATGAAAGTTGAAAGAATGGTGGTGACCAGAGAGGAAGGGAGATTAGTAAGAGGAGATGGAAAAGGCAGTCAGTGGGTTACTGTTAGACAGGAACGAGTTCTTGTGTTGTTACATAGTAGGGTGACTGTTATTAATACTGTAACGTATATTTCACAATAAGTACAAAGAAATGATGTATTTGAGGTGATGGAGATGCTATGACATGGTTATTACCCAGTGTATCCATGCATTAACACATCATACTTTTCCACTAAGAAATGCTCGGGGCTGAGGCTTTATCACTAAACTGGGGGAGTAACTACCACCACTGCCAGGTGTCTGTAAGAACTTGGGATGGTGCGTGTGAGCAAGAGTGGTTAGGTTATGAGGTGTGGCCAGCCCTTTGCAGAGCACTTGCTTCCTATCTGGGCTCCAGGCTTACAGAGGCACTGAGGCCAGAAGGAGTGGTCGCCCTCTGGGAGGTGATGGGCTCATTTGCTCGCTCACACAGATGTCTGCAAGATAAAACTAGACATCCTTAAAAAAAAAAATTGGATTATTAAAGTCAGAGTTTCAAGGTGGGAGGGATCTTATATTTAGTTGGCAGAGACATTCAGTCTTGACATTCTTTAACCAAGAAAGTCCCTCTAGTAGGAATGTGTCCTGTTCATACTGCCCTTATGTGTACAGACACATGTGCAAGGATGTCCTGTAAGGGACCAACGCATTAGCAAGGGCCTCAGGGCAACTTAGATGGTCACAAGTCCGGGGCTGGTTGAACTAGTACTGCTGTTCTTAGCAGCACTGAGGTTCTGCCCAGAGCAGGCCCACCAAGATGCAGCAGATATGAACAAGGTGTGAGGGTGCAATGTCTGGAAGGAAGCAGGAAACTTTCCCTTTGGGTGTTGGGAGGAGACCACATGGAAGAGCTTCCTCAAAAGCTGGAGTAGTGTGGAGAGCAGGGGGCACCACTCTGGTGACAGTGAGCCAAGCCTGTGCCCTCCCTTACCACACCACTCTGGGGAAGTGGGGGCACTTGTGACCTCTTCTCGCCCCTCCAGTCTTGGAGTTCTGCATTCCTGGCTGCAGGCATCCAGCCTGGGCTCAGTCATAAACCCCTGAGGTTGAGGAATAGGTTAAACCTGGGGTGCCCTGCCTGGTCTCACCTCGTTTTCCTGAAACTGGCTCAGTGCCCACACTGCACCCAGATGCCAGCAGGAGCGGCCGCGGTCAGGCAACGTGTCCACAATCTGCTCGATGGTCACCACACCCTTGGTAGTGGGGGGTGGGGCCCGCATGGTAGGGGGAGCATTGGGGATCCAGGAGCACCAGTCATACTGCAGGACAGCACCGACATGCGTGGGCACCCCGAGAAGCCCAGCTGCACCCACCAGAGACCCACCATGGCCACACCTGCAGAACATGCTCAGCCCAAGTCCTTGCCCTTCCTTCCCTGGGGCTCCCTGATTTCCCCACCCCACCCCACCCTTGACCCCGTCCTTTTTTTCCAGGCTCAGTCCCTCCAGCAGCTCCCACCCTCCTCAGCTGAGCCCACAGAATCCTCGCCTGCAACCAGATTCCAGGCCCAGAGGCTGCTGAGGGCCAGCCAGGATTGTAGCTGGACGCTAGGAGGAAGAGGAAGGGGCAGGCCACCAATGGGTCAAGGGGACCTGGGTGAGTTCCCACCCAGATAGCTGCCTGGCCTGGCCTACCTGGCCGAAGTTGACCGCAGCGTGCTGGGCTGAGGCCGTGAAGATGATCACGGTTAGGTATTCAGACAGCTTCTCCCTGCTCTTGATGGACTTGGGGAAGCCTAGGGCGAAGCCAGGGGCCATGAGCCCCTCCCCAGGAGGAGCACCTGCGCCCCACCCCGTCCTGGCTCCCCACCCAAGTGCTGCAGGACCCCATCGGAAACACATTCCGGGAGGGGTCCAGCGGCTCAGAGCAGAGGCAGAGGGCTGCGGCCCCACCTGAGGCTTTCCTGCCTCGCATGCCGTACACGTAAACGTCCTTCACAAAGTCCTGCAGCTCCTGGTCTTCCTCCACCACCTGGTCACTCTCGTAGTACAGGCCCACCACTTCTGCCGTGAATCTGGCTCAGGAGGGGGCCAAGAGTAGGTTCCCCATGGGTGACCCTGTCGCTCCTTAACTTAGGATCCTCCAACCCCCATCAGTCCCACTGAGTCCGGGAAGGGGCTCCTCCCACAAGACCCCAGCCCGCACTCACTTCAGGATGGCCTCCCACACCAGCAGCCCGTCATCGCGGTAGAAGTAGTAGGGGATATCCTCTGTGCTCTCCATACCCCGGGCCTTGATGGCCTCAGGGAAGCATAGGGAGGTGTAGGTCAGATCCTGCATGGCCCTCTGCACCATCTGCACGTGCCCGCCACCCCCTGTGGCATTGGCCTGGATGGAAGGGGAGAGCTCCTGAGCCAGGCCAGCTTCCTGCCCCAGACATCCAGCCCCCAGCCCACACTTGCGTGGGTCAGCTGGGCACAGAGCAGCCAACCTATGTCCTGGGAGGTGGGGCAGAAGGGATGCTTAACTCAAAAGGCCAAGCTCCCCACCCCCATGAGGAGGTGACAGGGAGGAACCCTCTATCTAATGCAAGGGGTAGAGTCAACCTGGCACTGCACAGCAGCAGAAGGGAGGGGCAAGCTCCCACTGCAAGAACAGACAGGCAGCTGCCAGGAAAAAGTGGGGATACTCCTGCACCAATGGGGCATGCTCCTCCCTTATGGGGAGAGTGAGTTGGAGCATCAAGGGCCAGAAAGAGCAGAGGGCAGGAGACCGTGCTCTGGGCACAGTGCAGGTCCCAGGCAGTGTTGGAGGGCAACACAGGTATCTGGTGTGTGGGAGGTCAATGGGCCATGAGGAGTGAGTCCCAGAGGTAGGGAGGGGGGTCTAAGGGAGGTGATGGGGAGACATTGCAGGGAGGGAGACCAGCTGGTGCACTGGGCAGAGAGCTTGCCATGATTGGTGGGAGGGGCTGGAGTCTCCCATCCTTCCCAGGCTACCACCGCACGGGAGGCTTGGCCTTCTGAGACACTTCCAGGCCCCGGAGGGTGGGAGGGCACTCACCTTGTCAAAGAGGCCATACTCGCAGATGAGCTGCTCACGGGCCTTGGTGTTAATGGCAATGGTGAACCTCACGTGTGCCACCAGCAGCTGGGCGGGTAAGGAGAGACTTCAGCACCCTCACCCCCCCATTCAGGGTGCAGGAGGACATTGGACACAGGAAGGAAGTGAAGGTCAGGGTGCTGCTCTTCCTGAAGGCCTGGGGGACTCAGCTTTGAAGCTTACTAGTAATGGCAACAGTGATAGAAACCATAATAGCACCTGTATCATTTTTAATTATGTGCTAGGCACCGTTTTAAGCTCTCTGAACTTAACTGTCTTTATCCTGATTATCACCCTGAGGCGCAGTTTAAGTTTAGTCTCCAAACACCCCAGCAGTCAGTGATGGTAACACCGGGGAAGAGGGAAGGACCTTGACAGTGAATTCATTTGCCTTTTCAAACTACTTCCAGGCCAGCCAGGTTCTGTCAGGCTCTGGCCCCAGCCCCAGTCCCAGCCCCATGTCCTGGGGGACCATCAGGATTTCAAACTGCTTTCTCTTGGAGGCATTACTGCCTCCCTGGGCATCTCCCCTGGGGTTCCTCTGCTACCAACTCCAAGTCACAGTCCTCGGTGGGGAGGTGAGCTCCTCTCCCAGGTACTCTCCTCCCAGGTGGAGCAGGGGTTGGTTGTACCTTGAAAATGGGGTGCACGGCAGGAAGCTGGCGGTACATGGCGATACCAAAAACCTCAGACATCAGATGTGTGTGCAGAAGGTGAGTGATGGTTTGGTGGATGTGGAAGTCACTGGAACGCACCCAGATTTTGGCCAAAAGCCAGTCATATTTTGCATCCGAAGGGAGAAAAATGGGATTCTCCTCTCCTGGGGTTTGGTTGAGCTGGCATATTGAAGAAAGAAAACACACTGCTCTAGAATATAATTTTTGGAGAACCTGGCCTCAGGAAATTCCAGAAGAATCCAAACATCTTTAAGTGACTTTCAAATCACTAGATGAGCTCAGAAGGCCACTGAGGGATTGGTGTTTCCTGTCCCAGCTACCCAATCTACACAGCCATGAACAACTGATCAGCCTTTCTGTGCTCCAGGCTCCTCATCTATAATTTGGGGAACAGTGATCTCTCCTGGGGTTGGTATGGGCACTACATACGGCCTCATGGAGGCTTCACGTGTAGGAAGCAGATGCAGGTGGCTGTGACCCAACGCCTCTTCCTCTCCTGCTTCCTTGCCCATCTCCCTCATACCTTCCACCCACTAATCCATGCTTTCCTTTGCCCTGCCCTAGAACGCTGGTGTTCCCCAGGGTCTTCCTGGATGCCTATGTCTTCTCTTCTTGCCCCCAGTTAGCTCCCCTGTACTGGGGCTCCTGGGTCAAGATCTGCAGCCAGAGCCCTGCCTGAGCCTGGGACCTGCAGCTGGACACCCCCTGTAGTATAGGCCAGCTTCCCTTCCCTTTCCAGTTTAACTCCACACTGGTGATGAGGCGATTTTTCTCTGAAACGCAAATAATGTTATGTTAATCTCTTCCTGAAAAATATTCAGTCACCTCTTAATGCCAAAAAAATGAAGTCCCCAAACTCCATGGGATTTGGCTGCTGACACTCTATGGCATAGCCCACCACGCACCTACCTCTCCGCCAGGCCAGGCTTTGGTGTGGTGTGTGTGCGTGTGGGTGTGCATGCGTGTGGGTGTGCGTTTGTGGGCATTTGTGTGTGTGTGTTGCTGGGGATGAACCGAGGGACTCACCCATGCCAGGCAAGTACTGTACCCCCCAGCCCGCAAGCTCATTGCTCTTACCAAGCCCTACTTTAGCACTGGGCAGTGAGACCTGGGAGCCTGGAAGGCAGGGACTAGTGCTACCCCATCTAGCAGGCTGAGGGCCTGGCACTTCAGGTGACCTAGGGAGCAAGGTGCCAGCAGCAAGTGCTACAGCCAGAGTGTCAGGGAAGGGACTGGGCTGGGCTTTTGGCACTTGGAGAGATCAGTGTCAGGAAGGGAGAGTTGCCTGTGTGGAGAGCAAGCCAGTCCTGTCCCCTAAGTAATTTGGAAGGTGGCTTCCTTGTTTGTCTCTCAGTCCAAAACAGCACATCCAATAGATATATAATGCAAGCCACACGGAGAATTCAAATTTTCAGGAAGCCACTTTTTTTTTTTTAATAGTTACTGGGGTTTGAAATCAGGGCTTTGTGCTAACAGGTGCTCTGCTGCTTGAGTCACTCCGCCAGCCCCTTTTTCCTCTGGTTATTTTTGGGGTCTCGCTTTTTGCCCAGGCAGGTCTGGACTGTGATCCTTCTATTTGTGCTCCCCAGCTAGCTGGGATGACTGGCGCACACCACCGTGCCCAGCTTTTTCTGTTGAGATGAGGGCAAGAGATCGTTTTGTCCATGCTGGTCTGTAATCACAATCTTCCTGATCTCAGCCTTCTGCACAGCCAGGATGACAGGTGTGAGGCACTAGTGCCTGGCCAGGAAGCCAGATTTTGAAAAAGTAAAAGAAAGCATGTAAAATTTAGGTTAAAATATAATTTTATTTTACTCAATATATCCAAATATTATCACTTCAGCAAGACACCAATCTGAAACTATTAAATGAGATATTTCACGTTCTTATTCTCATTCTAAATGTTTGAAATCTGGCATGCACTTTGTATCTACAACAGATCTTGGTTTGGCCAAGCCATCTCAAAGTGCTCTAGAGCCCTGAGGAGTCAGGGGACAGAGCAGCTGTAGCAGCTGGCTCCAGCCTGCAATTGAAGGGTGGAGACAGGCAGGAGAGGAGAGCAGAGGTGACCTTCATTGCATTCTTAATTATTTGTTTGTTAATGGGATTAGCTGTCTACCTTTAACTACCAGATACTTTTAGATAAAATTTTGAGAATCAGGCTTTCTTGAGCAATTAAAAGGTCTGAGAACTCTGTACCTATGTTCTCATAAAACAATATTCTTTGAATATTCTTTGAAATGGTCCCAGTGCTCAGGGTTCCCACCCCTCTCAATACTTCACTCACTTTGCACTAACTGCCTGGCTTACAGGCACCTGCTGCTATACCCTGCCTCCTAAAGCATGTGGGGCACCTTCTATGCTTCAGGCACCCTCTGCTTCATGCTAGGGGTGATCTTGTTGAACCTTCCCCATGACCCAGCCAACCAGCCATTCCTTGTCGTTCCTACTTACATAGGGAATGAAGTTCCCAGTGTTTAAGCATCTCCCCCATGTCACACAGCAGCTAGATAAGTGAGGAGGGCTCAGTGCTCTGCCTGTTTCAGACCCACCACACTGCCTACTCCCTTTGCTTCCTTCTGCCCACACAACACATGAGCGCTCATAGCCTGCTTCACATCTTCCCTTCCCACACATCTTTCATGGCCTCCCACTCCTGTCCAGGTCTCAGTCCAGCATGGGACTCCAGAATGGGTACAAGGCAACTTGTTTGCATTATTCATCCTCCCACTTGCTGCTCAGAAAGGCTAATTCCACTGATAAACGCCTGCTCAGTGGTACTGGTTATCAGAACACTGAAACGGTAAACAGTCTTGCCCCCGCCTCCCAGCACCCAGCATCCCTTCAATTGCCTTGCCATGTGACAACATGTACTTAGAAATGACTTTTGCTAAAACCACTGCCTCCTCACTTGGGCCCACAAGGTAAGTAAAAGCAGGATAAAAGCCTGGTGTCCCTGCCTTTATCAGGTGTTTCCTATGTCTTAAAACTTTGGGTCAGACTCCTGCTTAACTGCAAATAGGCATGTTAATGACCCCAGGAGTACCTGTCTAAAAACTGGTGATACCTAACCTATCTCATCCCCTTCAAAGCTGAAGGCACAGAAATAGGAGTAACTGAGGCTCTCACTGTCAGCTTTTACAGCATCCAGTTCCAAGATGTCCCAAAAGGCACCTGAAAGTCTCCAGTTGTGGTCCTAAACCTGCAGTCACCTTGGATTCCAGGAAGAGCAGAGCCTGGCAAGACAGATGGCCCTGTGGTGAGATCACCCCTAAGCAGAGCAATCATCTCATGGGAATCTTACTGTCTGCAATAAGGACTTCTTTGGGCTCTGTTGCAGATCCAGAGCTGGGGTAATGATCAACCAGACCACACTTGGACTGCGATTTCTCTTGCTCACCCCCTGCCCCAAACCTTCCCTTATTTAAACCTAAAGCTTAGCCTGGGGCTGGTGGTTCAAACCTGTAATCCTAGCTATTTAGGAGGCAGAGATTAGGAGGATGGTGGTAATAGTTTTCGAGACCCTGTCTCAGAAATATCTAACACAAAAGGGCTGGTGGAGTGGCTCAAGTGGTAGAGCACCTGCCTAGCAAGTGTGAGGCCCTGAGTTCAAACCCCAGTACTACCACCAAAACCCCAAACAAAACACACACACACCCCCAAAACAGTTAAAAATAAAGCTCATGCCAGAACCATGAAGACAGGCTAAAATGCTTCACTTCTATCTTTCCAAAATAGCTACACTGAATAAAATCCTTTCCTGCCTTTTCATTGTTACTTCCCTTTACTTTCTTTGGAGTGAGTGGCTGGATCTGACATGCTGGAGCTCCAGAGTCAGGCCTCTGGTCTAGGACTCCAGCTATAATGCCAGCCTCTACCTCAAAACCCCACAATCCTCACACCATTCACTCTAAACTCCAGAACCTCAACAGCACACCAAGTTCAGCAGGTGCTGTGGGACCTGCTCAATATTGTACTGTGACCCCCACCATGGGCAGGCATGGGGTGGCAGTGTTAACTACTTTTTGGTTTTGGCCACCTGGTGGGTTAGAAGTGGGACCTCACTGAAAAGTTTAATTTGCATTTCTGTAAGTACAGGTGGAGCTGAAAAGCTCCACATTTCCTATTCTGTGAGCAGCTTGTTCAGATTCTCTGCTGAGGTGTTTGCCTTTTCCTTGTCAATTTGAAGGGCTCTTTGTATGTTACAAATATCTATCCCTGACCTCTGACCTGGCACTGTGGACCTGTTATTTCCCCAACCTATTACTTCCCTGGTGCCTTCCCCAGAACTGCAAAAAAAAAAAAAAAAAAAAGAAAAAAGAAAAAAAAGTTGGGTGAGCTGGCATTTTTCTGATATACAACTTTCCTATTGAGTATCGTTGCGATTTTTTTGTACATCCTTTAAAATTTTTGCATAATTTTTCTTAATATGAGCATTATATTATCAGGTAGGGTCTCATAGTAGAGTGCTTGCCTAGCATTCAAAGGCCCTGGGTTAGATTCCTGGAACCCTCCAAAAAGTTGTTACGACATTGTTATTGGACATTGTTTTAGAGATCCTATCACATGTGGTAAAACTGAAATAAAGCAATCAACAGACAAACTGTAAAAGAACTGGGAAGGGGCTGGAGGTGTAGCTCAGTGGAGCAGCACATGCTCACATGCTAAAGGCCTTGGATTCCATCTCTAGCATCACACACACACACACACACACACACACACACAAAACAACCAAATGTAGGGAAGATTATCTTTTCTGGTAATTTTTCTAGTAATGATATGATGATAGACCTAGAAAACATGAGATTCTAATTTTTTAAGCTATTAGAATCAATATGTTCATTTAGCATTGTCCATACAAATATACCCCTCAAAAAGAACCAATGGCCTCTCTCCATACTAACAATATATAATGCTCCTCCTAGCATCTCCCACTGATGAGTTCTTCCCTTATGTCCCCTGCCTCCACCTTCTGCATCAGTTTCTCAGGCATAGTCTCTCTCTGATAACAGGTTGGGGACTCCTGGGGGCAGGGGGACAGTGCCCCTGAGAGGCTGAGGGCCGGAGATCTGGAGCCAGATGACTTGACTTGAATCTTAGCTCTGTGACTGACTGGGTATACCTGTGCCTCAGCTTCCTTATCTGGGTAAAATGATCAACATCAGTAGGGTTGTGTAATGATTACATAAATGGAGATAGGTCCTTGTCTGCAATTCTAGAGGCTAAATGTGCTTCAGAATTCATAAATTTTAGGATTTTAGCATTGTATATGCTTCATTTCATGGCATGCCTCACTCCTCCAGGTCTGGCAACATATTTTATAGTCAAACAGTAAGTAGTATTTCTGCAGTTATCATTTGCATATCACATATACTTGAAATTCTTTCCCTTATTGGTTCAGAGGTTTATTTGCAGCTAATGAATTTGCTGCGAAATTTCAACTATGTAGCAATTTTCAGGGTTGTAAAAGGGTTGCTGGCAGTGTGGTTGCAGTGGCACATCAAGCTACTATGCCAATGCATCCAATGTCCAGGCCACATGCATTGCTTGCTGAATGCTCACCTGTCCATCCTCCATGGGAGCCCCTGTACCATACCCCTGACCTCCACCCCTACTTATTCCATCCTGTCTGTCCTAGCCTGGACCTTGCTGACTGCACACCAGCTCTCACAGTCTAGTGAGATGAAGCCCTGTGCCACTGCCTCTCCTTCAGACTGCTCTCCTGGCCTTCCACTGTCCTTGGGGATGACAGCGGCATGGAGGATGTCATCCCAGGATTGGCCCAGCTCCTGAGGTGCTGTGGTGGCTTTAGATTCCAGCTCAACTCACAGCTTCACCTGCTTGGCCCCCATGGCCATCTTGATTTGGGGGCCCTGGTCAGCATGGCATCCCAGGACAGTTCCACAGTGCTCCTTGCCCTGCCAGGGGTCTCTCAAGTGTGTCTGGGACAGTGGAGCCCTCCCTGCTTTTCATGTTGGAGACTGCCACCCAGTCCCACAAGAGTCTTTAAGTCCTAATGTCTCAGTTTTCCTTCAGATTCAGTGACAGAACTGTGAGGCAGAGCTGTCTGTGCCTCCTGGGTGCAGTGGAACTGTTCTGGAAGCTCCTCCCAGAGCTCCCTGCCCCCAAGACCAAGCTGTCCACAAGGGCTGGGGCTGGGCAGCCTACCTGGATGGCTATGGGTACAATCTTGTTGGCCAGGTTCTTGTACAGCAGGCAGATGGGTGCTGCCAGGAACTGGTGTGTGCAGGGGTCGGTTTTGTTGGCATCGATGCCATCCAGCAGCTCATAGTCCACCACAAAAATGTTCCCTTGCTGCAGGAGGCAGAGAAATGTGTGCAAATTACTTTCAACAGAGATGGACCCAAGAGTTAGGCCCAGGTGGGGAGTCATGGATTCTGCCTATCCCCCTTCCCTGCAGCCTTACATTCAATTGTTCTTTTTCCTAAGAGACCACCCAGAATGGCTAAACAAATGCAGGCTAGATACCCAGACCATGGTAACCCTTTGCAAAAAGCCCCCAAACTCCCTTAGCCAAAAAGCCCATCTAATGCTCCATCAGCTCCCCCTCTCCCCCCCTTACCCAGCTACCTCACACACCAGACATCATCCCACAGGACTTCACCCGCTCCAGTTAATTCCTGGAGGGGACAGAGCTCATGTTCCTTTTAGAGTGAGTGAACTTAAAGAAATAAAAAAGGATTTAGGAAATTACACAGAAAACCCAGATCAGTACATCCAGGCATTTAGAGAAGTCAGCCAAAACTTTGAACTGAGCTGGAAAGATATAATGCTATTGCTATTTCAGACCCTCACTTCTCTACAGAAACAGCGGGTACTAGAGCAGGCAGTCACAGCTGGAGACAATTATCACTTAGATAAAAGTGGCCCTACTACAGCCCTGTCTGGGCCCTCACAGGAGGAGGAGGAGGGGGAGTGTGAAGAAAGACAAGGACATTGGTTACCTAAAAGGGAACCTCGATTCCCAATTCCAACAGGAGATCAGGCAGTGCCTAGGTATGACCCTAAGTGGGACCCTGAAAATGACAAGGATGAATGGAGTCATAACCATTTCATCCACTGCATTCTTGAGGGTCTAAGGAGAGCCAAAGTAAAACCTCTTAATTACTCCCAAGTCACAGCTGTACAGCAAGGACCCTTAGAAACTCTAGTAGCTTTCCTACAGAGACTTAAGGATGCTTTACAAAAGCATACCAACATTATACCAGAGTCACAGGAAGAGGAAATTGTCCTAAAAGATAAATTTCTAACAGTCAGCACCAGATATCCGTAAAAAGCTTCAGAAATTGGTGGCTGATGGGAGCAGAGATCTGGACCAATTGGTCTGTGTAGCCACATCTGTATACTATTACAGGGACTTAGAAAAAGAAAGGAAGGACCTGGAAAAGGAAAAGAGAAAGGATAAGTGACAGGAGGCTCTGATCACAGTGCTCAGAGAGGCTTCAATCCCCCTGGGCAAAGTCCAAACCTGAGGACATGCTTTCAATGTGGACAGGCAGGCCATTTTAGGAGGGAGTGCCCCTGGAGAAAGGTACGTCTGTGACCTTGCCCCATTTCTCGGGGAAAACATTGGAAGGCACACGGTCCCCAGTTCTCAGGGGAACCAAGGTCAGAGCCTCCCACCCAATGACGGGTCCCAGGGCCTCCTATACAGGCTCTGAAACCACCGTAAAAGCAGAAGAGCCCCAAATTAAGCACAAGGTCAGCCTCCTTATCAATACTGGAGCCAGCATCTCAGCTATTCCTTTCTCTCCCGGACCCAGGTCCTCCAAGAAAATTACTATTCAAGGCATATCAGGCCAGCCTCTAGAGTGTTATTTCACTCAGCCTTTAGCCTGCTCCCGAGGAGATTTCCATTTATGTCACTCCTTTTTAATTGTCCCAGAAACCCCTACTCCCCTGCTGGGGTGAGACCTTCTATTCAAATTGGGAGTACAGCTACTTTTACGCCCAGGAGAGTAATTTTGCTTGCCCCTAATAGAGGAACAACTAGACCCCACAGTGTGGACAGATGGACACACTGTGGGATGGGCATGAACAGATGCCCCAGTCCTAATTCATCTCAAGGACCCCCTCCTGGTTTCCCCATCAAAACCAATATCCTTTAAAGCCAGAAGTTAAGGAGGGGCTAATTCCCATAATCAAAGACTTAAAGAGACAGGGACTGCTAATAGAATGCTCCAGCCCATATAATACTCCTATTCTCGGTGTCAGGAGGGGACCTAACAAATGGAGGCTAGTCCAGGATCTCTGCCTGATCAACAAAGCAGTAGTGCCTCTCCACCCTGTAGTTCCAAACCCTATACGCTTTTAGCCCAAATACCTCCGCGTACTACTTACTGCTCTGTCCTGGATTTAAAGAATGCCTTCTTTTGCATTCCCTTACACCCTAAAAGTCAACCTATCTTTGCCTCTGAGGACCCCAAAAGAAACTCTGGACAGGTCACTTGGACTGTCCTCCTCCAGGGATTCAGAGACAGCCCCCACCTCTTTGACTTAACTCTAACTCAAGATTTGGCAAAAGGGCAATATCCACAAGCTACTCTGCTACAATATGTAGATGACCTCCTCCTCTGTGGACCAAATGAGCCTGTCGTTTCACGAGCCACTGAGTCCTTACTAAACTTCTTAGCAGATAGAGGTTATAAAATCTCTAAAGAAAAAGCCCAATTGTGTCAGTCTAGGGTTACATATTTAGGTCTTATTCTGGAGAAAGAAATGAGGTCTCTAGGAGAAGACAGAATCCGTCCAATCCTGACGTTTCCTCTACCTAAAACTCTAAAGCAATTGAGGGCCTTTCTGGGGGTCACAGGATACTACAGAATTTGGATCCTGGGATATGCAAATCTACCCAGGCCCTTATATCAAATCCTTAAGGAAGCACAGAAGGATACCCGACCCTTTATTGAGTGGGATGACAAGTCAGAAAATGCATTCCACAGGTTAAAAAAGGCTCTTATGACAGCTCCCACCCTGGGTCTCCCAGTACAAGACAAGTTTCAATTATATGTCTATGAAAAGAGAGGACTGGCCTTGGGCGTGGTGACTCAGCTCCGGGGCATCACTCCCCAGCCAGTAGGCTACTTAAGCAAAGAGTTAGATCAGGTAGCCAAGGGATGGCCAGGATGCCTCAGAGCAATGGCCACAGTAAGCCTTCTAGTGCTTGAAGCTCAGAAACTTACCCTAAACCTCCCCCTAACGGTTTATACCCCACATGACCTAGGGGAAGTTTTAAACTCAAAAGGAGAACTTTGGCTATCTAATAGCCATCTACTTAGATATCAGGCCCAGCTTCTGGGAGGGACAGAAATAACTTTAAGGACCTGTCAGAGCCTAAATCCTGCATCCCTTCTACCAGAGGCAGAGGGAAATCCTGAGCACTCATGTGAGGAGGTACTTATGGAAAATTATGCTGCCCTACCTGACTTAACTGATCAGCCCTTTAAAAACCCAGATCTAGAATTATACACTGATGGCAGTTCCTTTGTCAAGAATGGTGTCAGACATGCAGGGCTTGCAGTTGTGACAGAATTTGGCATCCTCAAATCAGGTCCTCTTCCTCCTAATACAAGTGCTCAATTGGCAGAATTAGTGGCCCTAACAGAAGACCTAAGACTGTCAAAAGAACAGAGAGTCAACATCTATACAGATTCTAAGTATGCCTTCCTGATCCTGCATGCTCATGCAGCCATTTGAAAGAAAAGAGAAATACTAACTACAACAGGAACAGCTTCCCATAGGGATAAAAGGGAGGTTACTTTAATAGTTTTAGGGATAACTGCATTAGTTGCAGCCCTAGCTGGAATCAGTTATGGGGTGATTCCCAGTCATGTAACTGCAAAAAGCCTAACCAAAGTAGTAGAGGACACCTCAGACCAGGTAGGCCTTGCCATTAAGGACATGCAAAGGTCTTTGTCATCCCTTGCCTGTATGGTAATGGAGCACCGCCTGGCCCTAGATTTTCTTTTGGCCAAACAAGGGAGGTATGTGCCATCGCCAATACTTCCTGTAGCACATATATAAACACTTTAGGCATTGTAGAGGAATGTGCAGATTACATTCTCCAACAGGCTAAATGGCTCCAGGAGCAGTCTCTTGAAAGTCAGGTTTCTACTCAGGTATGGGAACAAATAAGATCATGGCTCCCCTCCAGGACTTGCTTCCTACCCTTTCTGGGGCCTACAGTTGCCATTATTCTCTTGCTTGTGTTTAGGCCTTGCATTTTAAACTTACTTGTCAAGTTTGTTTCTTCTCGCCTAGAATCCATCAAACTACAAATGCCTCTGGTGGAGATGAAAACGACCTACTATCGAGGTCCCCTTGACAACCCATCTCTGGTCAGCCCCTAGGCTGCAGGTCCCTTCATCGCCCCCTATCAGCAGGAAGCAGTTACTGAACAGACTTCCTGGTCCCTATCCCTAACAGCAGTTAGGGTGACCATTGAGAGGGGGGAATGAAGGACCGAAGGATGGATTGCAGGAGGTCCCAAAAGGCAATAAGAGGTCAAGGAGACACTTCTCCTCCATAGAAAATGCCTGTTTGCATCTGAAAGGCATCTCTGCCCTCAGGCAATGCAAAAATAGGCTATAAAACCCACTCCCCACCCTTGCATTCTCCGATATGCAGTCTTTCTCTTCTCTACAAATAAAATTTTTCCGACTTCTGCTGTTAGAGTCTGCTTATGCTTTCATTCTCAGAGCCTGCTCAAGAAACCTGAGCACTGAAATTCCTGCGCATGTCATCCGTGCATCATGAGGTAGTTGGCAGTGGCTAATTCCATATTTGCTGTACCTGAAAACCGGCTTGACCCTCATGAAAGATGTTGAAAAACCACCCAGAGTGTCGTTTATTAATAAAGATTTTAGCGCTGCAGGACTTAATTTATATGAAGTTCAACACAGAAAATTAGCCACTGTCAGAGCCAGAGAGGAAGAGATGGTAAGGGGAGGGGGTGCTATTAGCGCAAGGGGAAGGTAAGTGGGGGTGGGGAGGGGGATTCAGCAGCGGGGGGGGGGGCAAGTCTGCAGGAGCAGATGGGGAATGTCTGCAGGGTTGACATGCTGTCTGTGTGTTGGTCTGAGGCTGGCGACACAGTGGGTCGCTTGGTGGAAATTCATTGAACTTGTTGACTTTGGATGGGTACCCTTTTCTTCGGGAGCCGTGAACACACCCAGATACAAAACTAGCGCCCCATTAAAAAAATAAAAAAAGCAAAATTAGTTTCCAATACAAAACCCGCGGAGGCGGACACCTGCCCTCGATCTAGAGGACGCACCGTGCGTCCTCTAGAGGGCGCCCGACTCCAGCGCGAGGCCCGGACTCGGTGAAGTCCGTAGACTCCAAGCGCGCCCTGCCATCGCGGCACTAGAGATGTGCTCTAAACGTCTGTCGCCGTGCTCCTGACTCATGTGGGGCTGGGGCCAGGTTGGTCCCGGAGGGCGTCTGCCAGGCCTTGCAGGCCACCTGGTCAAGGAGATGGGGGCCGCGGACTGCAGGGCTGGCTAGACTTCGGGGCAGGCTGGACCACCAGTGCCCACTGCCCTGAAGGAATGGCTAATTAAATCCTCGGCCAGACAACCCAGTACGGTCAATGTGATGAAGGAAGGAGGGGAACTCAGGTCTGTAATCCCAAACCTCCCTTTCATCCTTTTGGAAAACTAGGGGCAGGCCCTATCTACATCTGCCTTAGACATTGCTGTTCCTGCCTGTCTAGGGTCTGGGTCCTCTCCTGTTCAGTACACTCCATTTTCCTGGCTATAGTGGTTGGTTTGAGAATTATCTCAGGATCCAATTGGGTCCAGGAGGGCTGGCCCTAAAACATTTGCTGAGCCTTTCTTTTTGCTAGTGGGTGGTGCTTGCTTGCTACATTGGTGGAAGCTAAGTCTGAAGCTGTGGTATTTTTGCTTCCACATAAGGAAAAGAAAACCACCAGAGGCAGAGACTTTGAAAGTGCTTGAGCTCATGAGCCCATTGGCTCTGTTTTGATGTTGCCTGAGCCAATTCATTTCTTGGATTAAGCCAAATTGAGTTGATTTTTGTGATTTGAAACCTAGTATAAAGTCTAAGAACAAAAGCAATCCTGAAGAACTATAACAACGACTCAAAACCAACAATAGGAATGTGTACAGTATGTGTCAGAAAAACCCCCAACCCAGCAACAGGGGTAGAACTTCTCTACTCATGTTCCAAAAATAAATTGCACGGCAAAAGATTTAAAAGAAAAAAACAATTTTGGGGTTGGGGATGTAGCTCAGTAGAGCTACATGTGTTACCTAGTTCTGGGTTCCATCCCCAGCATTGCAAAAACCAAAATAATTTAGTAGGAGTTTTTGTAGGCCACAAGCTTACAATAAATCACTGAGGGCCTGCTAGAGAAAGGGGGCAGGAATGACAGAGGGATTTAAGAACTGTGCTGGTGGGAGGATGATGGGGACAGTGTAAGATAAAAAGAGTCTATTCAGTGTGGATGTTTATTAAATACTGCCTCATGATTTAAATTGCAGCTTGACCATCAAGACCATGGTGGTGGTGGGGAGTCAGCTCAAAGGAAAGATGACCCACAACCTGCCTGCCCTGGTGGTGATGGCAGGTACTCACCAGCAGGGGCCTCTTCTTGTATGGCTGGGGGCCCTGATGGCTGCTCAGACCCTTTCAATTTTAGGATGTTCTGGCTTGTAATGCTCTGTGATTCTCCAAAGTTTGAAATCTATAGCTACTGAATTAATTTTAGCTTGTTCAACAATTAAATCTACAGAAGAATATTGCTGTAGGTATTATCAGTTGTCTATGTGACCAGGTAGTGTCCTGTGGCCTGGAGAGGTCCAGGAAGAAGGGCTAGGACTGCCCTGCTCAGGGATTTCAACTGGGTAGGCATCCTCCAGAGGCAGGTGAGCAGGGTGTTGGGGCTGTGAGGTCTGTTTCTGGAGTCCCATAGTGAGCTAAGCATGCAAGACAGAGTGGCCAGAGACAGCAGAGGCTGCCTGGACAGCTGGGGGACAGAGGCCTAGTGGTGCTGGCTCCAGTGGGGAGGGGTGAGTTACCAAGGGCTGTTGGGACCGTCAGCATGGGATCCCAGTGTGCAAGTGCCTGATGTGGTTTCCACCAGATCCAGAATCAGGACTCGGGGGAGGGAAGGCAGGCACAGACGGCACTGACATTTCTAATTAGAGAGGAGACATTTCTGTTAGCTCCCCCCTTTTGTTTTTATGCAAAGTCTGCTTCTTCCTCCAGTTTTCTCACCTTTGCAAGGTGTGTGACAATTGAATGGCTGTGTGTGGAAGGCATCTGTCACAATGCCTGGCCCACAACAGGCCTCTAGTTAGGGGTAGCTCCCATAATTATTGATAGCGATACTGAAAATATTGTATTCTCCCAGATGTGATGCTGTGGACAAACATCTCCCTCAGTTCCTCCTCAGGCTGCACAGTACCCAGGACCCTCCTAGGTGCTGCTGCCAGGAAAAGGAAAAGACAGGCCCTACCTGGATCTCCTGCTCCAAGCTGAGCTGCCGCTCCAGACTGCACTCCACCATCTCCGTGGTCACAGGGAGCTTGGGGGGAAGCTTTGTGCAGCGCTTGATGAGCACAGGGTTGCAGCCATTCAGGAACTGGTAGCCAAACATGAGGTCTTCTTGCCAGTGGTTCATGACCCGCTCTATGGAGAGAGAAGCAGGGCCCACTGGGATCTGAGCAGAGGGCATCCAGGCCATAGTCCTCCTGACCCTGACAGACAGCAGATTCCCTACTGGATCTCCTCTCCTAGGCACTCACTGCATGGTCAGCTGGCCACAAAATCAACTTGCCAGTCATGCTCTAGTCTTGTACCCCTGCCAGTCAGCAGGTCAGGCCAAGGTGCTACCATGTCCTCCCTGAGCTGGACCTTAGTGCTTCACAAGAGTCCAGGGCCCCCACACCTCTCACAAGATCTCAGGTCCTTCAGCCCAGCACAGAGGGAGGAGGGGAACCAAGGGGAGTCCTGAGGCGGCTTTGTCAAAAGATGCTTCTTTGTATGCTGATTTCAACACCTCTTTATCCAACCACCTCTGCCTCCCAATTCTGTGGCTATTATGTTCTTTCCATGCCATTACTGTAACTAGCCAAACACATCCTGGCCTAAAGGACTCCAATTTGCTTTTATATAAATGCTTAAAAGAAACCCAGCCAAATCCTGCCTCTACTCTGTCCAGAATCACCACAAATGATTGATTTATGTAAAGAAAAGGTTCTGATAGTTTTAAGATTAACAATGAAATGAAGTCAAGGGTGCTTGAGTTTGAGTGTCCAAGGAGGAGAAACCGCTGGGTGAGATGGTGACTATAAGTGAGACCACTGGCATGTGTGTTTGGGGGTGGGGTGGGGCGGGGGGGTGGTGGCTGGCCTGAGTGACGTGGAGGCGAAGCCTGGGCAGTGAAGCTCCTGAGCTGCAGTGGGGTAGGGCAGCCCTGGCCAATTTCCCAGCTAGTCTTGGACAGGAAAATAGCATCCTTTTTCCCTAGCACTATGAGTGTCCCCAGAGCACACTCACCAGAGATAGTGTTACTGATCTTGACGAAGATCTTCTCAAAGTCAGCGAAGTCACTCCAGGAAGACTGGAACATGTGCATGAAACGGTTGATGAACAGGTTTTCCATCCTACAGACCAGGAGACAGGTTACCCTGACCACCGCCATGCCTGCCGCCTGGGCAGAGCCCTCACGCTGCACTCACACCTCAGGCAGCTTTGGGTGACAGGTGCTGACCTTACAGAATCAGGGCAGACACTGGCACCTGTGCCTGATACTCTTCCTACCACACCTCTCCTATGAAGAGACCAGGCCAGTGCCCTCCAAAATAGTGCAGAAGCTCAAATCCCATCCACACATGCTTTCATTCTTTTATTCACTCATTCATCAGACATTTGCTGTGCCCCCTCAGTGGAACAGTTCCTAAGCAAAGCTCCAGGGACAAGGCACCCCAGTCCTGTGCAGCTGCTCTATAGGGGCCTGGATTTTGGAGGGGTGAGTAATTCAGTAATTCTGCCTAACCCCACTTGTGTGCTTAGTACTTGTGTGCAAAACACACAAGTTCAAATGCTCATTACACAGGACAGCAAAATAGAAACCCAAGGCAGGAGCTCACAAAATTAAAAATGCAAGCTGCAGATAGCAGAAGTGAGATGTGAGTGACTGAGCAATCCCAGGGGCTTCCTGGAGAAGCCAGTATGTGGAATGCATCCAGGAAGGTGGAGGAGAGGGGAAAGTCTTCCCTAGCTTTCTACATAACCTAAGCAGGGTACAGGACAGAGGCTTGGGGGAATTCTGGCTACTTCTCACTGTGACACGTTCTGCCTCAGGTTCTCTCCCTGGCACACACTGCTGTAAGTAATGAGAATAAGTGCCCTGCTTCCTTCCCACTGTCAGAACTTGCTGGTGCCCAGTCCTTCATTTGACTCTGGCTACCTCTTAGAATCCAGGCATCCCTCCTGCTCTGTTTTTTGTGTATGTGTGGTTCCTCACACCTGGAATGCTCTACATCCCTCTTTCTTCTCTGCTGTGGCCTGACCTTACAGAATCAGGGCAGACACTGGCACCTGTGCCTGATACTCTTGCTACCACACCTCTCCTATGTTGAAACCCCAGTCCTCAATGTGATGGTATTGAGATGAGGCCTGATCTCTTCCAGGTGATGATTTGGGTTGAATGAAGTCACAATGGTGGGGTTAAGAGGAGACCAGAGAGCTTGCTGGTGCTCTCTGTCCCTTGTCCATGCCATCTGAGGACACAGTGAGAAGGTGGTAGTCTGCAAGCCAAAAAGAGAACCCCAAATCTGCTGGCACCTTGACCTTAGACTTCCAGTTTCCAGAACTGTGAGGAATAAATTCCTATTGCTCAACCTGCTCTGTCTGTGGTACTTTGTTGTGGTGACACCTGTACACTGAGACCTGCTCCTGTGAGCGTGTGGGTGAGTGTGGAGGCCTCATGCCCCACTCCCTCCATCTCAGGGAAGCCCTCTTTCCACAGACCAGGCTGTCGTGTCATCCCTACTCCCTGATGCTGCCTCTGGTCCTCAGCAACACCAATTGCAACCTAAGTGCAAATCGAGACCTTGAATACTTGCTTCCTGCCTTAAGCTCCGAGGACAAGGGTGTGTCAGCAATGCCCAGCTTCAAGTTCAGGCCTCCAGCACCCAGAGGGGCTTAGTATCACCTCATCAGGGAAGTGCCTTGATGCCTGGTGCAGGTCAGTGTACCATAGAGCTCCTTCAGTAGGCTCCCTTCCTGCCTTCCCATAGTCCCTGAGTGACAGAAGAGCCAAGACCATTCCAGGAAGCAGCCTTGAACACTGAGGGCACAGCACCCTGCTTGGACTCAGCCTTTGGGTGGAGGCCTGGCTGGACTGAGCTGCAGACATGCAGGTACAGCCAGGCTGGGTGTTCAGGAGCCTCCTCAGCCCTCCTGGCTTAGAAAAATCTGAGGGCAGAAGACAGGAGTCCTATTCAGAGTAAACTTGGCTAATGGGACAGAGGTCTCAGGATATCCAGCTCTGCTGCCCTATGGGAAGACACCCTGTGGCCATGCATGAGACAGCTAGGCAGAACCACTGAAAGCAGGGGACTCTCTGGATAAGAAGGAACTTCGGGGGGCTCTCCTGGGCCTGCCAAACCCAGAAAATGCATGTGAGGCCCCTCTGTATCCTCTGTAGTTCAGCAAATGCTCCTCCTTTTTCTACTGGCCACCCTGAGTCCCTTGGAGGCCAAAGACAGGATCTTGGGTCCACAAGGCCAGAGATTTCTGTGCATGTCCAATTGTCAAGAGGATATATTGCCAGAGCCCAGCCCAGGCATGCAGTTGGCTTTATGGTAACAGCACACAGTAGGTGCTCAGCACCCTGGAACTGCAGAATGATGATCTCACTTTCTGGAATCAGGTACCTGATAAGGCCCATGGAAAGCAAGGAGCTTTTCCACCTGTGCTTCTATATCCAGGGCAGACTGCATTCAGCACCACAAGTGTGCAGCCAGAGCCTATGAGGGCCTGGCACAGCTTCTTTCGGCCTGGCACCTCTTTCACCACTCAGCACTCTTGTCTGCTGAGTGCTCTGAGCTGCAAGACTGTGGAGCTGGAAGAGTAAATCTCACTGGATCATCTGATGTCCATCTGGGTGTGGAAGAGGACTTATTTCTGGGAGAGGAGAGGCCTTCCCATGTCCCTGTGAACCCGCTGGGTCCCAAGGATAGCCCAGCACCAGAAGCCAGTAATGAAGTCCTGGGCCTGGAGGTTCCCACCCTGGGGATGCTTGTGGGGAAGTGGGGTGAGTCATTATCTCCCCAGTTGGGTCTCCTTGACCTCAAAATAGAAGAACCTTGAAACAGAGCAGGATGTGGCAACATTCAGAGGAAGCCACAGATCCAGGAAGAAGTGGGGTTAGAAGGAAAATGTTTATGTGTCATATAGAGACAAAGTATTTCTACATACTTAGAGGCATCTGGAATAGTCAGCATTTCAATTATCTGATTTTGTAAGAAAGGGACGTCTGCAGCACAGAGAGGGCACCTGACTTATTTAAGGTCACACAGCCAGGTAATGACACAGCTAGGTAATAATGTGGATATATAATGATGCAACGAGGCAGGAGGCCTGACTGTCTGACTGAACAGCTGTCTCCTCCGCTGAGCAGCTGGCCTGGACAGGACACCAGCTGTGAGCTATGTGCTGGGAGAGGCAGAGGCGCTAGCTTCCTCTGCTCCTCCTCCCACTTTCCTTCTAGCAGCTTCTCTATTTTCTATTTCATAGTTTCATTGTTTGGGGTGGGGACAAAGTTTGCAGTGCAGGGCTGGCCTCCTTCCAGGCACAGCAGGTGGCCTGGAAGAAGCCTCTCAGAAGAGGCCTGAAATCATGCTGGAGCCCAGGTTCAATGGGGAGGGTATCCTGGGTGACCTCACGATGAGTTTCAGTGTTCTGCTGGGTGACCTCATCAGTGCTCTGCTGTGGGGACTGGGTTAACCATGGGCAGAGCAACTCTGCTAGAGCATGGTCCATGGGGGACAAGGGCCTGGCCCTTTGTGTGACAGTACTCAGTCCCCTGACCTCAAGGACCATCAGTGCAGTGTGGGACCCCCCACAGCTCCTTAAGGAAGCTGGACCAGGGGATCTCAGAGCCCCCAATATCTCTGCCATGTGCTGAGAGTCTGGACACAATAATCCTGCATAGGACTGGGAGTCCCCGGGCATGGGTGAGGAGGGGCAGCCAGTAGGTGAGGTCAGCATGGAGCATTAAGGGTCTGACCTAGAACCCCAGCCCCACCAGTTCCCAGACACATAACCTTGGTAAGTCGCTTAAACTCACGGTGCCTCAGTTGTTTCATCTATGGAATGGACATAAAGATAGTCACTGCCTCATGGGGCTGACACAATGTACATCATGTATTGGTGCATAGGAGAGCTCCCCAGGTGTCAGTGACCACAACCAGACTGCCCTGTACTGCATGCTAAAGTCTGCGTCACAGGCCCTGGGGCTCCAGGAAACCCACAGTCATTACCAGCCTGCAGAACAGCATGGACCCTCTCAGTTCCCCTGGCCCCTCGGCCATATCATCTTGCCTTTCTGTCTTTTCATACCTGGTGCTGGTCTGTCTTTTCCTCCCTCCACTAAAACTTCAGGAGAGTCTGTATCAGTGACCTCCCCTGTATCCTTTCTTTTCTCTGCCCTCCAGCAGCAGTGCTTCAAAGTGGCCACAGCCAAAGGGCCATGATCAGCTCTGAGATCCCCTGATCTCTTGGAAGCTTCTGACAACTGACCCATCCCTGGGCCTCAAATTGCTTTCAAATTCCATGGTCCTGCCCAGGCCAGGCTCTTTGTCCATGTCCTACCTTGGAAAACTCAGCTCCACTTCCACACACAGACCCCACCCTAGTCCTTTTGGATAGCTGGGGATCTCACTGCCACAGAGTGCCATCTTCTCCACTCCTCTCATCAGATCTTTTAGGCATCCTTCAACACACAGTGTGAGCATCTTCTCTACTCCAAGGCTTTATTTCTGATGCTATTCCCTCAATTTGCACATCCATCAGACAGATGGGCTGAGATCCACTAACCTAATCAGTCTTTCTTTGTTGTCCTGCTCCATCCCACCTATGACATGAATCATTCCTTTGTCCAGTGTATCCTTGCCCACCCATTAGTTACTTTGTAGCCATTTCAGTTATCAGATCAACTATAGTGGTATCACAGTGCTTTTGTTCAAGTAACACTTATTTTATTTATTAATGGCCCCAAAGTGCTGGAGGAGTAAAGCTGCATTTCTGAAGTAAGAAGGTGAAAGTTTATCACAGGTGTGTGTACAGGAAAATACATGGTATGTAGAGTTCAAAACCATCTCCAGTTTCAGCCCTCCTTGGGGTCCTTTTTTTTTTTTTTTAAGACAAGTCTCAATATGTAGCCCTGGCTGGCCTTGAACTCATGATCTTCCTGCCTCAGCCTCCTGAATGCTGGGTACACAGCACTGCCATGCTTACTCATTGGAGGTCTTCAAACGCATCCCCTGCAGATAGTGGGGTGTGGTAGGAGGCTCCTGTAATTTGAGCGCTATTGCTGAAGAGTTTGTAATGTTTTATAAACTCTTTTTTTAGGGTAGCTCATTTTATGCTTTGTACTAACTCTCGTTCTTATTTTATGAACCATTTTTACCAAAAACAAAAATGCTACATTAGTAAATCAAAAATTCTCAGGCCTAACTTTTAGGTGGGATTTCTTCACCTATATTTTTCCAGGAAATTAGTATTTTTCCATTGGGATACACACACACACACACACACACGATTTTATATAAAAATTCAATAGAAGTAAATAGGGCTGATACACAGAAATGTTAGCAGAAGGTGGGGATTATTTTTTACGTTTCCAATTTTGAGGTAGTATTTGTGAAGCTGAGGGGAGAATACTATTATCTGTGAGTGCTGTGGTAACATGGATCATTTGCTTCTGAGCTGGGTGGCAATCCGAGGGTGTCGGGTCCTCTTCCCATACAAAATTCCTGGTTTTGCTTTCCAGAGCCAAGGAGCAACTCTGCTTCACTCCTCTTCATCCTCATGACCCTGCCTCATGCCCCAGCCTCTGGGCTTCCCCTCTGCCCTTGCTGGTCTTTTTCCTTCCTCCACTAGAACTCTGCCCTGTCCACGGGACTCCATCTCTGCACTCCAGGTTTGTAACCTTCTGCAGCCTCCCTCTTCTTAGGGGCTGGTCTTTCCTTCCCCTCATTACACATGTCTCCCAAGGAGCTACATATGCAATTATCTGTCTGTGTCTGTGGGGATCTGTTCCATGGGTCCCAAAGTCTGCAGACACTTATTTAAAGTGGCATAGCATTTGCATATAACCTGTGTGCATCTCCTTGTATTCTTTAAGTCATCCTTAGATTATTTTACTCCCTGGCTCAGTGTGAATGACATGTAAAGATGCTATTCTGTATTGTTTAGGGAATAATGACCAGAAGAAAAAGTCATACATGCCTGTACATTTTTAGTACAGATGCAGGTGATTTTTCAGGTATTTCTGATCCACAGTCAGTTGAATCTGCAGATGTGGAAACTCATATAGGGAAGCTGATTGTACACAACTTTGTCTTCTTTGAGCAGGCAGCAGGTGGCCTGGGGCAGGGGCAATGAGAGTGTGGCTGTCAGACCACACAGCTGCCCTCCCTGCCAAGTCTCTCCCTAGTCCCTCATAGTGTTGTCCACCACTGCTATGGCCTCAAAGCTGGCTGCAGCCTCTTAGCTTTGCCTCATGTCCCTCTGGGCTCTGGGCCACATCACAAGGGACTGCATAGGACTCTCAACCTCAATGTGCCCCAACCTGGGCTTCTCTCCCCCTTCATGGTTCTTCCTGTCCAGCTTCCCTCTTTAATGATCACTCATTTTTCCCTACAAATGTGACGTACATCATCAAAGATGTTGTGAGTTTTTCCTTCAGCCTTTTCCTCCAGTGCCCTAAATTCTAAATACACCCCAAGCCTAACCACAACACACCCTGTATCTTCCCTGCTCCTCAGCCCCTATCTTCATGGGGTCCTCTCCCCACATGGGCTTCTCATCTGACCCACACAGGCTGTCAGATCAACCTTCTGCAATAGAGCTCCATCGCTGCTTGTCACAGACACACAACTCCCCATTTTCCACTGGATGTGAAAATTTAGACCCCTGATGTTAGCTATGTCCACTGCAGCCTCATGGTAACATTTTGGAGGCTGCCTTCCCAGGAAGATGACTGCAGTGTGGGTAGTCCCCTGGATGAGCTGCTCCACACATGGACCCCTGCTGGTTCCCCCCTGTCTGTCTCACGTGTCAGGAACCATGTAGTGGGTGTGAGGCTTGGATACCTGATCACTTCTCAGAACTCAGCCCCATTCTGTACTGTCCTCCCTTACCCGAAAGGAAGCTTCTCTTTCTCAATTTCCTTTAAAGAGATCATCCCTTATCAGTCTCACTAACCCTGCAATCAGGTGCCAGGATGCACACATTGTGTGGGCAGTAAATACACACTGTTCTACCCTCAAAGCCACCAGGAAGTTTCACAACCCACTTGGTTCTGCTAGTGGGCCTGTCTGCAGCACACCTTCACAAATGGCACTTTCCCTGTCCCACCATCATCAGGCCCCATGTGTGACTGCCTGGCCAAGAGCAAGGCCAAGCCAGACTCCTCAACTGTGAAGTCTTCGTGTATTAGCAGGAGATGTCCAGGTGGAAAGAGGGTTCCTTATGTGTCCCTATGAGGGATATCTTCTCAGCAGGCAGAAGATAACAAAGGAGTGTCCAGGTGGACCTGACCTCATTACCAAGAGTATACATTGACTAGCACTGACTTTAGGGAGACCCCCTCTGCATCCACAGATCTAGCCCAGGTGGTCCCATTTCATTCTCACAGTCCTGCCTAAGTAGGAAGCCTGCACCAGCTCAGAGCCCTCTCCCATGCATCCCTTGTCTCCAAGATCGGTCCCTCTGAACTGCTTCCTTGTGGTATGGCCTGCTTGGCTTCTCTTATCTCCTTAAACCTCATGTGTCTTGATCCACTGAGCTAGCAAGGAAGTGGTACTCAGCTGACTGCCTCCACTGAGCTGCTTGAGAACTCCCAGGATTTCTTTGCTCTGTTCCTACCAAATAGTCCATCATTTAAGGGACTGAGCAACAAGGATGATACAGAGAAAGGCTGGCTGCATGTCACTGGAGTTATGGGTGGCTGATGTGGGCAAGATGGGTGTAGGACACAGAAGAAAAGACCCCAAGGGCTGCTAGGAGTTTCTAGAAGGGCCATGATCTGCAAATAATGGGTGGGGAGCATCTGTGGCACAGCACAGCTAAAAACAATGTGCCACAAAGGTGCCCTGAAGACAAATCTGGAATCCACATGGCTGGAGCAGCCTGGACAGGTGGGGAGGGGAGAAGGCTGGGGGTGGGCAGGTCCATTTGTATGCATCTCCATCACTAGGCAGATGCACTGGGCTCTCACCTGTGGTTGGGGAAATCATTGAAGGATTTCAGATAAGGGAGTAAAAGAATTCAATTTACTTTTTTAGAAGGAACCTCCAATGAATTGTATGTGCACTTGAGAATGACCCATCCAAATGTTGTTAGAAGATCCTAGGGAAGCAGGTGGGAGGATGCTCCTGAGGGTGTCCACATCAGAGACAGATGGCAGAGCAGGGAGAGGAGGATAAAGCTCCCTGTGACCACAGCACATGGACTTGACCCCACATGCAACCATGTGTGTGCAGGTGGGTGAGGCCCAGGAGGCATCTAAGCCAGTGTTTTCAACCTTGACTGCAACTGGAATCCCCCAGTTAAAATATACCTAAGCCTGGACTGCAGAGACCACACAGATGAGGGTTGAGGGCAGGACAGCATGGAGTCTGTGATACTAAACGCAGACAGGACTGAGAACCTCTACCTTGGCTCCCACGAGCTACAATAGGGATGCATGAGAAAGGTAAGGACACTGTGAAGTGGGGGCCTGTGGGGTGGCAATAATGGCTCCAGAGCTGCCAGCTATGTCACAGTCCATTCATTTTGACAGTTTCTAGAGCACCTATTCTGTGGCAGCTTCTGTGCCAGGCTCCTGAAATACAAAGATGACTTTGACCTTAAGGAACAATGAGTAGACATACATAAGGCAAAGCCTGGTCTTCATCCACCATCTATTCATCCACTAAGGAAGGAAAGAAGGAAGGAAAAAGAAAGAAAGAAGGAAGGAAGGAAGAGGAAGGAAGGAAGGAAGGAAGGAAGGGAGTGGCAACAGGCTATTCCAAGTAAAGACCCTGTTCTGAGCTGAAAGCACAGTACTGCTGATGTCTGGAGGTGTGTGGGTGGAAACTCTGTTTAGATATAGATTGTCCTATGACTGTTCATTGAGAATCTATCCTATGGCCTGGAAATACTTAAGTGCATTGTGAATAGCTCCCACTGGGCTGCTTTCCCAGCCGAAGACCTTCCTGGGGAAAGGAGTGGGGGTCCTACCCCCAGGCCCCTTTCACTGGACTGCCCACCAGCATCTTGAAGTTCTCAAGACTTACGCTTTGGAGTAGTTCAGAACAAAGTCCACTCCTTTCTCACTATCAAACTGGATATCGCGAGGCAAATCCTTGTGGCATTTGGCATCAATACTCAAGGGGAACCCAGGGTTCCACTCCATCCATCTAGCAAGTGAAAGAAGAAGGAACTGGGTTAAATGCTAGCCTGCAGTTGGCCCTCAACTAACAGGGCTGCCCATGTTGTCTGAAAGTGCTATACCCGGTGCTCCATGCCCTCACATCTCATGCTCTCCCATATCCCACCGGTTGTGTTTCAGCATAAACCCTAACACATGCATTTTCTGTTGAGTCCATAGTACTGCAAAAAAAAAAAAGAAAAGAAAACTCAAGTGGCAGCAAAGTTTGCCTAATATCTGAAGCTGTATGTGGACAGATCTGTGTTTCATTTTGTCATAAATATACTTTAGGTTAAAAAATAAGGTAAAAAGGAACCACTAAGTAGGAGATGAGGAGATACTAAAAATTATAAAGGAGAACATTTTTAATAAAAAAGGATTTTGTTTGTTCAGAAGGTTTTGTCCTAAAATCAAAGGATTATTCCAAAGTAGGAATAGGTGAGTAGGGCAAAACCAGAATGCTACAAGCATATGGCAGAGGTTTCTGCTGAGGTACAACCGATGGGATGGGGTAAAGAATGAGGAGATGTAAAAAAAGATGTAAGTAAGAGGACACGCTGCAGATAAAAAAGCTTTTTACATGGTAAAACAAGGTTTTGTCTTAAAAGCAAAAGATTGTTCCAAAATGAAACAGGCAGGTAAGGGCAATACCATGTTTATTCTCATGTCACAGAAGGGTTGTTGTAGGGTTTATAATAAGGTATAACTGATAAAAATCCAAATGCTATCTTGGTAAATTTATAAAAGATTCTCTAAAAACTTCTCCTTAAATCCCTGTAAAGCTGGGACACAAGAGAGCATCGTCGATCTCCTCTCTGAGATGACCCACTCTCCACTGAGAGCAAACCCTTACTTCTCTTCATAAATTTTGCCATTACTTTCATTGTATTTCACATCTTGCTCAAAATCTTCTCTTGTGGGAATACAAGAACCAAGGACCCCAATAGAAACTCCCTGCACAACCGTCTGACCCTACATCCAGGGAGGTACTGGGACCCATTCTGAGGTTCTGTGGCTGCCAACTTTGATGCGACCTGTGCATCACATGGGAGACCTGAGAGTGGCTCACCACAAAGGGTTAGAGCATGGAATAGGTGTGCACCCGTTAACAAAAAAGGAGTGAGGGAGCCTCAGGAGACCTTGCTTTTTAGAGGCAACATCAAGCAGCAATGTCTCCCATAGCAGAGGCCTTGCAATCACAGGAGGCAGAAGTGTGAGTGAGACTGGCAAGCCACACCCAACCTGGACATCAGGGTCTTGCCAGCTTGGTCAGTGTGCAAACCCCAATTGTGTGCATGTTGGTGCCTGGAGGTGAGGGAAAGAGGTGGTTCTCATGCCTTCACCACATGGCCATGTGGCAGCAGGGGAAGTGATGAGGACCCCCAGGCACTGGCCACTGAAAGACCACCCTCTTTAACCTACTGGCCTGTAGCAGGTTTAGAGATTGTTACACTCAAAGTAGCTCCTCCCAAGCACAAACCATGCACTCAGTCCAGTAGAAATGTTTACCTTCCTGTGCTCTCCACTCTTGCAATACTGCATTTATATTTTATTTGTCTATTTTGCTTACTTATTTACTAAACTTGAACTGTGAACACAAAACAACAAAACAGAACAAAATCCCTGTTCATTTCTTTGGGGGAAGAGGAGTGAACTTGTGTTTGTTACATTTTGAAATTTCAGATTTTTCATTTGTATTCCTGACTCTCCTTCCTTTTCAATCTCTCTTTTGGAAGATTTCAGACCATCAGAAAGTCTTGAGGGCTGGAGGTGCGGCTCAAGCAGTAGAGTGACTGCTTAGCAAGGGCAAAGCCTCAAGTTCAAACCCAAGTACAGGAGGTGGAGGCTGGAGGGTCACAGTTAGAGGCCAGCCCAGATAAAGTTAGTACAAGACTCCATCTGATACTAAAAGCAAAAGGACTGAGTGTGTGGCTCAAATGGTGCAAACACTAGAGCCTGAGTTCAATCTCCAGTATCACTAAAAACAATAGTGACAGCAACAGAAGTCTTGGGTCCCTTAAATACCATCTTGCATTTTTACTGTTCCACACTTCGCACTATTTGCTGTGGTATCCCGCTGGCCCAGGGAGAAGCCACTCTAGTCTTAGGAGAGGTGACCAGAACCGAGTAGTCACATTAATGTCAAAGGCACTTTGCAAAGTGTTCTGTTAAGTGGCAGTTTACATTTCTCACTGTTGGTTTACTTAAAACATTCTACTTTCTTAGAATGTAAGAAAACCTGGTTTTGTTGTTTATATTTTTATATGACCACTGATACTTATACAGGAATAAGGATTAAAGTGTGGACAAGCATACTAACATTTTCCTTTGTTCTAAAAAATGACTCAAGGCATCTCCAATATATATCTAACTTTGAGAGTTCTTTGGGATTGCACTGTGTAACCACCAGGCGGTAATCACCACCAGTCGCATCAGTGCAAAACTTCCTCACTACTCCTCCCCGGCCAGGCAGGTCTAGGCCTCCTGGGAATTTGAAGAGCTGAATGGAGCTGGAGTTCTCCAGTGTGTAAACTGTGAGCCCAATAAGGACAGCATGTGCTTTGGGTGGCATTTACATTTTTCTTAAATGAAGAGTTAACTTGGAAGAGAATTTGAGTACTTTTTTCTTGGCACAGAAAGAAGCTTTTCTCCGCCTGCTCTTCCTCAGCCTCCTTAGGGTGCAGTGCTGAGGGGGAGAAATGCCCCACCCTGGGAGACAGGAGATGATCAGGTCATGCACAATGATGGAACAGTTTGCCAGCCAGCTTGCTACTGAAACCAAACACCTATGTCCCTCTCACTGCTCCTGAGAGACCTTGACAGTCTGACCTGAGAGCCAGAGGCCTTCACACACACACACACACACACACACACACACACACACACACACACACACACAAATAGGCAAAGAAAAAAACATGCTCCATGGAAGAAGACCAAGTGGAACCACCAGACAGAAGGACGAAGCAGAAAAGACACTTAATTTGGAGAGAGAAAGAGATCTTAAGGAGATGCAAATGGTGCAATTCAATGTAAGAAGACTTTCTGAAACTAGAAACATGATTTATAAGTTAAGAATTTATAGCTGGGCACTGGTGGCTCACTCCTGTAATCCTAGCTTCTCAGGAGGCAGAAATCAGGATGGCAGTTTGAAGCCACCCCGGGCAAATACTTCGTGAGACCCTATATCAAAAATATCCAACACAAAAAAAAGCTGGTGGAGTGGCTCATGGTGTAGTCCCTGAGTTCAAGCCCCAGCACTGCAAACAACAGCAACAACAACAACAACAAAAAGAATAGGGAAATAGAAAAAGAGAATAGTAATGGTCAGATCAGATTAGTCTTTTGGGAGACAAATTTCATTCATTCCATAACTAATTATGTGACAGGAAGAGCTCTGTGCAAACTAGAAGGAAGTGTAACACAAATGCAGAGCAAAACCCCCAAAAAATGGAAGCCATGAATGAAACCACAAATGCCAGATACAGAAGATTTAATATTCAAAGAGCAGAGTTCCTGAGAAGTGGGAGGGATACATGTAGAAGTAGAAACAATCAAATAAATAGAAGAAAAAGTTCTTTAGCTGTAAAAGGCTTCAATTTTCTTAGTTGAGTTCCAGGTAGAAGGAAAAAAATGATCAAAGTCTTGTTAGATTTCTCATTTATCATATTAAAAATGGAAGATAGTGTCAAGTGCTTACAAACTTTTTAAAAGATCATCTTACTTGAAGTCAAGTAACTGAAAGGCCAAAAAGGCTCAGGTTCAGATGTCACAATGCTCACCTGCCTTAATTGGAAAAGATAACTGGAAAAAAATTAAATTGAACAAATCACGAAACTCCTATATATAGTCATGTTTATTATAAAACAGTAGCAAATACAATATTAAGCAAAGAAATAAAAGCTTGAGAGGGTTGTTCATCATTACTAGCATTGCTTGCTTTGGGCATTACAGTCATGTAATAAGAGTATCAGTAGTTCAGAGAATGGAAATAGGAGACAGATTATTGTCTAAACAATATGATCAAATAAGTAGGTACCTACAAAGACTCCCTGTAAACAAACATGCAAACAAACGGTTAAAGCAGTAAGAGTTTAGTAAGAGTCCAAAATAAGGTACATACAAGAAACGAGTCATTCTCTTCATCCCAACAATGCTTACTTACAAACAGAAAGGTATCCCACTTGGAGTGGCAAAAGTTGCAATATCCTTTGATATAAAGTAACTAGAAAAGTGAAAGACCTGTGTGGAGGAAACCAGAAATGCTACTGAAGGCACTACCTGAGTGATAAGTGGGGGACAGACACACCAGGTACTTGGAAGAAAGACTGACTATCACTAAGATGATAATACCTAACACAGCTGGATGTAATTCAAAGCAATCCTTATCTTGAAAGTCTTAATAAGGAACAGTGAACTACAAAACAGATTTCAGGAAGTATCAGGAAGTTATAGAATGTTCTTAAAGAGGTGCTGGGCTCTGGAGCAGAAAAATAAATTATTTGTGAATAACAAAAAATGTGAGCAACATATGAGTCCTTCCTTCCTTCCTTCCTTCCCTTCCTCCCTCCCTTCCTCCCTTGTTCCTTCCTTCCTTTTCTTCTTCTTCTTCTTCCTCCTCCTCCTTCTTCTTCTTTTCTCCTCTCCCTCTCCCCCTCCCCCGCCCCTCTCCCTCTCCCTCACCCTCCCCCTCTCCCTCTCCCTCTCCTTCTTTCCTGCTACCAGGCAAGTGCTCTACCACTTGAGCCATGCCCCCAGTCCTTTTGTTTGTATTTTGTTTCTGGTAAGTTTGCCCATGATTCTCTTGCCACTCCCTCCAGAGTAGCTGCGATCACAGGCATCTCTACACCTGGATTACTGAGTATGTTCTATGTGCATTCATCATTGGACCTGTTCAGTTATCTCAAAACATATGAAGTAGTGAAGTGGTTTGTATGTGATGTGCCCCCCAAAGGTTCATGAGTGGTGGCATTGAAGTGGTAGGTGGAA